TGTACTAATGTAGGGCCTACATGTATAACTATAATTTATATACCTGTATGACACCATAAGTCTGTATCTTGATTGTGTCATGATTAAACAAGGCAAAGTCCAAAATGTTTTCCGATTCCACTTGCCTGAAAGGCTGACAAACATTCCGTCCAATGTTAAGCTAAGACATAAAATTATAGTTAATTCACTTGTAGCTTATGCTATACCACTGTTTATTTCAATGTTTACATTAAGCCTCTTTCTTTAACTGGGAATTTACAAAATAATGGCCTTGTTTACCTTTATAACTGTTTGCAAGCAGACTGTCATTAGAAAGGAATGCATCCATTCCAAGCTCTGTTGCTTAGGCCTGTCTTGATTGTAATCTGTATTTGGTAATGTTGATAACCCTATCTAACTTCAGTGAGAATTTACATGTATACGTACAATGTAAATGTAGGTATATGTCCATGAACTTTGGTAGGCCCACATGTGTATATTTTTGTGTAGGCCAGTCCGAATCTATATACTTTTTATCTGTACTTGCAGCCTCTCTCTTCCCCCCCCCAAAAAAAACAAACAACAACACCCATTTGAAACAAAATAGCGGAAAGAAAATGAAACAACAACTACATTGTACATGTAAAGTCTTCAGCAAACTGCATAAAAGGGTGGGGACACATGTAGAAACAAAACCATAACCTTAAAATGAAAGCAATGCCAATAGACAGTAGTAGGCCTTGCACATTGTACTTTTAACAACTGTCCTTCTTGTTTGCCTAGGTAAAACAGAGCAGGTTTGTGCCAAAGTAAATGAGATGGCTTACCACCAAATACTTGAAATAGCTGGTGAAAGTTTGTGGCCAAATTTCAGTAGAATTCATTGGAAATCAAGTCACGGGATGGCATTGAAAATAGAACAATGGGTTACTTTTAGTTTGTCTGTCTTGTTGTTTCTATATCTGTAAAATGGCAAGTGTTCAGTGCAAATACATGTAAGTTGGACATGCATGGTGTACATAAAGCCAGGCTGTAGTCTGGAATGGAGCACCTTTTTAAACTACAAATAGGTTACGGTTTCGCGCATATGAGGTGTAAATACATGTATGGTGTTGCACTCTGTGTATGAAATTATTTTAACACTGGGTGGTATTCTGAAAACTGTTAATCTTTTAAATGTCATGAAAGAGAAATCCAATTTATGACAAGTCGTTGGTTATCTGTAGTTTAGTTAATAAAAGAGACGTCTTTGAAAACAATTCCAATTTGTTGTGTCAATCAAATGACACTCAGGAAGATTAGCATCATTTCTCATAGGTTGCCATGTCCTTCATTAGTCCTACAGCCCCTGGTTTTCACTGGGTCAGTCATGTTAAAATGATGGTTTATATTTTACCTCTATTAATTTATTCCATGTTTGTTCAAATACAACTGTATTTGTTTCCATTAACTATACAATTCTCTTTGCCGCAGTTGCAGGCCTACATCACAGTATTTCAAGTTAATTGTTTTTGAGAGCTGTTTACAAAAACAAAAGAACATTCACACATGTACAGTGTGTACAAACTAAACCGAAAACAAGACTGTGGTACATGTACATGTAGGAAGAGGATTCAAAAGTATGGCATTAGCATGGAAAGTGGTTCGAGCAAACAACGGCTGGCATGATTTTGGGGAGGGCTTATGCTGTAGTGTAAGAATCTTCAAGGAATGCTTCTTTCCAGAGAGATCCTGTAAAGGGATTCTATAGGAATAGGATCTGTCAACAGAGGACTTGAGTTACATGAATGCGTGCTGGGGTGTTTGCTGTGTCATCCACACGCCTCCCTGGCATTGTTCTGGTACCTCTGACTGGTTCTTCATAGCATAGCAGTACATTTTGTACATGTACGTAACTGTATAATTTGTATATGGGTCCTCACTTTGATCTTCTAGAGTCGCAGACATTACCTTCTTCTTTCTAAGAAATATTGTAGGTTCATGGCGTTACCAGTTTTATGCCCTATTCAAAAATCCAAGGAAAATAATATGAAAGCCCCACTGCACTACTTGTAGCTACTTGCGCCCTCTATATAGCAAACAATGCCTAATCGGTGACCATTGGTCCCCCATGATCCTCTTTTTCTTATGTTAACTGAGAGCTGAGTTGATGAGAAAACCACCTGTCCAGTGACCTTGTAGGGCGGTCTAATCCGTCCTGTAAACTATGGCAGATAACCTTTAATAGTAAAGATGAAATTAGTTGATAGTTAAAAAAGACAAGCCATAACTTATAAAGTGAAGTACTGACTAAATTTGACCAATCACAGGCCTGGAAAATAGTCGGTGACTTAAGAATTGTCGGTGAACATGATATATAGACCACCGACCAACTGTTTCATGAAATGCCCCCCTGGTTTAGACATACTGTGTGCAGTACACAATGTACATATTAACTGACGAAAATGAACACAATATATGCTTGCAGAACTTTAATTCTTTCCAAATCTACAGAAAATACCATACTGATGTAATATACATGTAATGTACATATATGCTGATCTGTTTATGACAACTTTCATTAATGATAAACATGAACACATGTACAGTATGCCTTTTGCAAGTTTTGGTGTTTTATAGTGTTTTTCAGTTTGTTTTCTCCTATCCCTCCCTGATACTGTAACCAAAGAGCCAATCTTTTCTCTGCCTCAAGAGTCGCTTCCAAAACCGAGAGTCACGTGAAAGTATTTTCTTCTACAAGAGAGACACTGTTGGAATAGCAGTTTCTTGCATTCCTGATGCTGCAAATGTTGGCGACATACTTGTACAGCTGTAGTTTATTTGTATGTTGGCCTACATTTTGTGTATCATTTCTTCAAGGAAAGGGTCATAACCATCCCCCAATGAAGACATTTCTTTTGTGTGTGAAGTTTACAGATGTACCGAGTACTGACGCAAGTTTGTGTACCGGTAGGGCTGATGCTGCAAATTTCGGCTTTATTTTGTGAATCACTTCTTCAAGGAACGGGTTATAACCATCCTCAAAATGATACATTTTATAGAGGAGAAGACCTTTCTTTTATGTGTGTAGTTTACACTTACAGATGTACTGACGCAAGTTTGTGTAGGCCTGTATGGATGCAACAGTAGTTTAGCTTTTTACCGTACCATTCTTCATTGCATATTTCCTTCATTTCATTAAAGATCTAATCTCCCCGGTTTACTGCCTTTTCCTGCTGTTTTGCAAAAGTGTTTTGTATTCTGCTATGTTCTGTGCTGAAGTAAGACGGACAAATCCGTCAATTTCCTTCTCTTCCTTCTTTTCCTTCTTTCTACTGGTGCGAGTACGAAGAATGTTGCTGTTATTTTAGTTTTAATGTTAATTTTCATTCAGTTGTGATTACATGAATGCCAAATTATATTCCTTTATCTTTTATCAATTTGTTGCTGCCAGCTTTTCATTTATTTTCTTGTTGTTGTTCTTCTTCTTTACTTTTGTTTGGCAACTTGTCAAAATTGACTATTTTTGCCTCAAATATTCATAATAAGGTTTTGAAAAAATAAAACTTTTACAGGTAAAAATGACATATTTTTGTTTAAAATGCCAGAATTAAAAATTATAATTTGTCTGTCAAACATGCACTTGACACAGAGATTGCGAGATTAGACTTATTCCAGACTTCCCTACACAATTTCTGTTCCCTCTAAACAGACTACATGTATCCATCTCGAGAAAAAACACATTCCAAATTGAGTGACAAGCACTATAAAATCAAAACTAACAAGAATACCCCCAGCATACAGTACTTTCAAAATGAGACAATTTCAAACTGAAATGCGTGCTTGGCAACATTCCAGGTCTTGTGCTCTCTACCTTCACTACAATACCCCATCAATGCTACGCTCTTTCATGTCATCAGGGTCAGAGTTCACCCCCTGTGATTCTCCAGTCTGCTCGGTTACTAAGGTGTTGCCAGGGGTTGCAGACTAAGAGGTGTGTGTGTGTGTCTCAGTCTTGTTTACTAAACTGCATCATCCATTGAAAATCTTAGTGATTGCTTTGGATCTGTGCAGAATGTTTAAAGCCCCACTGCACTACTAGTAGCTACTTGCGCCTTCTACAGTATATAGCAAACAATGCCTAATCGGTGCCCGTTGGTTCCCCATGATCCCCTTTTTCTTATGTTAGTTGAGGGCTGATTTGATGAGATAACCACCTGTCAGTGGCCATGCAGGGAGGTCTAATCCTTCCTGGCCAAACTAGTGTGGTGGGGCTTTAAGACTACTATTGAATTTTCTGTTCATAAAACACCCCCTCTCCCTTCTCTTATCCCTATCACAGATTCAATTAAATACATTGATTGCTTTTCTGATGGCAAATACATTTGTTCAAAACCGTAAATGTGCATCATGGATTTACTCATGAAAATCTCCAGCTGTCATAACTTGTTTGCATACAATGTATGTCCTTGGACAAACTGCCAGAGTTTTCAATTTCACAAGAGGTATCAGGTGTCAGGCAATGTCTCTCAAGTGCATAGTGTTTTTGATTGACATTCATGTGCTGCTTTCCGTTATATGATAGTAGAGCTTTTTAGTCGTGCACAGCGATGCAAAGGTGAAAAGATTGCCTGTCCACGATAAAGAAAAGGAGAAAGATAGAGATTTTGGAGTCTTTAAAATGATGTTAGACTTCTAACAGCTTGTTTGAAATTGATTTTTATAGTCCCAACATTTCATAATTGATTTGTTATTATTTTTTATTAATTCTAACATTTATAATTTTGTGAAATGTCCACTTGATAGAAATTGAGATTTACAAATTGCAGTTTTATATTGCCCTAGGCCCCCTCTTACAAAGAGTTGATATCAATCACAACTTCAATCGCAACTATGTACAAAAGAGATACGGTAGGAGACTGCAAACTTGCGATTGATTTGGATCAATCGCAACTCTTTGTAAGACAGGCCCTGGTGGATGCATTTCTGATATTCATCATTCAATACTTTTTCAATTCGTTTTATCTTCCCCGTGTATACAGGAAAATCTGAAAGAGTTTTTCAGGGGATGTAAAGAGGAACTTGGTCTAGACCCTTCCAAAGAACAGATCTTCAGCGTAGACGATCTCACAAGCTTATCAAGAAGACTAAGGTAAGGTATAGAACCTCCTTCCTTCAGACGGAAAAAACAAAATGCTTGAATGACAATTTGTACAATCGCCAAATTTTGCTCTTGTGAATACAAGAGGAGACGTGATGGCTCAGTGGTAGAGCAGTGGTCTCGTAACTGGGAGGTCCCGTGTTCGAAACCAAGTCAATGCGCTAGTGCCCTTTCGTAAGGCATTAATCCTCATTACCAAGTCCCTCAGAGAGGACTTAAAGCCGTCGGTCCCCTGGCTGCATACTTTCAAGTATACAAATGCTTTCTTAGCAGTCTGGTAAAATATACCATCAACCCAAGTGACTCACAAGTTAACATCATATTACCTTGTGAGAGATATATGAAGTAGGGCAAGGAATTGTATCAGTTTACACAAAGTCAACTCCCTTCTGTTTGTCAACACATGATATTGTATGAAAACGTGCCTCAGTAAAACAGGATTTTGGTATTAGTTGTTGTAGGAGTGTATTAAAGGTAAAGACCAGTATTGGAAATGCCCCGATTTCAAAAAATGAAATGGAAGCTCTCATTACAAATCATGTGTAAGAATATGTTTTGACTAATACATGATGATAAAAAATTTGCCGGGAAACCGCCTACTAATTCATATATTTGGTAAATTTGTTTCTCTCATGGTCTGTGAGAGATATAGGGTAGTCCCATATACATCTTTCTGTGTATAGTGCTTGTAACTTTACGAAGAATGGGCCAAATTTCTTATCATTTTGATGATTCCAGAACCTTGCAGATGCTAGATGCTAGATGATCAACCTTTTCTGATCGATTCCACAACGTTTCTTTCACAATGCAATCGCATGACCATAACTGGTCTTTACCTTTAAAAGACTTAGACGAGAAAGATTTTCTTTCGACAGGTGCAATATCTGTGAAGAAATAGAGTTGTGTGTATTTTGCCCAAACATTTAAGAAGTATGTGTCCCTGCTGAATTGGGTGTCACATTTTTCAGGCTTCTCTCCCTGATTAAAGAATGATGCATACAGGTGTTGAAACCTCACCGATGCATTAACTTTCATTTTTTGCTTTTAAAGAGAAAACTACCCAGAAGAACAAATCAAAATGAAACCATATTGATTGAAAATCACAAGTTAATGTTCATGTATTGTGGTTACCATAGGAGTGATAAATGCCATGTGCATTGCTCACAGAGTGTTGATGGTAATATCCCTGGATATCTCGGTAGGGGTTGTTTTAGCAAGCCGGTGTGGGGAATCGCCGGAAAATTGGCCGATTTGGCATGCTGGGTATTTGGTAAACATGCTGGGTGACATTGAACATGGTATGTTAATGGCCGAGTTGTTGCCCTCCCCTGCCAGTTCAATGTCGCGTAGTAGCTAGGAGGTGACTGGTGATTCAGGTCGATTTAAAGCCCGCTGCACTACTTGTAGCTACTTGCACCCTCTATATAGCCAACAATGCCTAATCAGTGACCATTGGTCCCCCATGGTCCCCTTTTTCTAATGTTAATTAAAAGCTGATTTGATGAGATAACTACCTGTCAGTGACCTTGCAAGGAGGGTCTAATCCCTCCTGGCCTAACTAGTACAGTCGGGCTTTAAGTGCTGCTGGCCATAAGGTTGCTTCACTGGCTTTTACCGGTAATCCGCTTGTTGTGTGATGAAGACTGACTAGTTTTTGCCCTTTTTAACTGTAAATAGTCTACCTACAATGTATATGTAGGCCTATAGTATATCATTTTTTTAAATTCTAAAATTGTTTTTAAAAAAAAGATTAAAACTAAAAGTTAAAGTTGAATTGTGAAAGATAGTGATTGGGAGGTACATTGTATATTTTGTATTTAAAGAATGCAGTGAGAAGTAAATTGAATTGAAGTTGCCAGATTATTTCGCCATCATACACCATTTAGATTTCATCATGAGTAATCTGCTAGTAATACATTCATGAAGGAAATATTGCTAGTGACTGAGCAAGAAACTGACAACTGTGACTAGACAAAACCCTTGACAAGGAGTAACATGACATTTTGTGTGTAGAGGAGCTTTTGGAAAGAAACAGGGCTAATGGATTTTTTTTGTTTTTGTTTGTTTTTTGTTTTTTGGGGGAGCATTTGAAATATACATGTTTTATCTACGTGGGTTTACAAGTATCTAAAGTGTGCAATTAATTATAATTAGTATGTTCCCACTGAACAAAATGTAGGCCTCCACATTGCCTGTATGTTATTTACAAATGTATGTATAGAGATATCAGTCATTACTCCATTCTCTTCCACCTGTCATTTGCATGCTTGCAATGAATTCCACAGCTGTCATCATCCAGAATTAATTTTTTAGGATCCAGCTTTCAAGCACCCTCGATAATAATAATGATAATAATAATAATACACACCAGACCTTTGATACCATTACCATGCGTGACTGATTGGAATTCAACGGGTAAGGAAACTAATCTATTCTCCCTTCGTCTACACGGTCCATGTAATTGTAATATCTTTTCCATAGGGCCCGTTGCTGGTGTGGGAATTATGATTCATAATGAATAGTCCCTATAGACGAGCTATTGATATGGCTTTCGGGGTATTTATTTTGGTGGGTGTGAATTAATTCCGGAGGGCGATGCGTATATTAAAAACACTTGATTATGAGTTGGAAGTGCAAGGTTGGTATGAACGTGTGAGTAACCGTATGACACACCCTAAATAAACCAATTGTCATGAATTCCAATGAAATAAGCTACTGTTTTGGATGTGCAGCATGTATGACATATTCCTAATTATTGCCAGCTATGACATTTGAACAGTTTATATTTCTGAATTACTATTTTCCTAGTATCTACACGTATAGGTAAAGGTACATGTAAATGTACATACAGGCTAATTTACATATAAATGGTATGTGTGAGAATAATCAGAACCTGAACAGACAGCGTGTTGTGTGAGAGTCAATATGCATGAACTATTTCACCTCTGTGCTTCTGCACATTTGTTAATAATCGGCTCTTGTACATGTATCTCATGCAAATTTGCTTTTGTATCCTTTACACAGCTGGGTTCCGTCGGCAACATCAGCTCCAAAAACAGACAGGGAAAAGCTTAAAAGTGTAAGTTTTGCATTATTTTAATGTAGTTCATATGTTTTGTTCAGATGTAGCTTCGACAGTTTCAGACAAAATTAAACGTTCTATTTTCCTCTAGTCCGTTTTAAAGCTGTCAACCTTGGGCATTTTATCTGTAAGAATTATACTAAAATACAATAAAATCAATATGGGGAAATGCGTTTTTGAGCATCGTTTCGACCCAAACTCAAAAAAGAATCAGGGTTCTTTCCCAAGTACTCTGAATGTTGTAGATGTTTCTTATAAAAACTGTACAACCAGGTGGAAACGGATGCTGATGATTGGTTAGTCGTCATGTCACCTGACCTCTTTAAAGTAGCTTCTATAGGGCCTATACGGCGTGGGTATTCTAGTGTGAACACCTCTCTGTTACACAATGATTCTTTATACAGTGTATATGATGTTTCTTTGTATGGGTTCGTATACATTTCCCCAGAGTCTGAACAGGCCATTAGAGTACTGCACATCATGCAGACAAGAGGAAGGAATTCCTTTATTCCAGACAAATTAACAAAAGCGCTCTGAAAGATAAGGGATCCGACCTTCATATGTCATGACTTGTCATTACAAACGTACAATGTAACGTGGTGGTCAATTGTGAATGATACTCTAACATGGCTTCAAAAGAGCACAGTATTGTCAGTTACCAGTGAGAAGGAAACAAAGGTGGTTCAATAGGAATTTCGGGGGAAAAGGGCTTGGAGTTCTGATGATAAGTGCTTCAGTGTGACCACAGGCAGTCTTTCGGTGAAATGAATGTGCTGCACTATTCGAAGAGAAGGATTAGAGTTGTTGACAATAATAAATACAGACAAGTCACATTCTGTTATCTTTGCCATTCATTGATCTGCATTTCTGAAAGCGAGGACTGAAATTCTGAAAATACGTGAAAGGAGTTGATGACCTCATTTCCTACCTGTAAATACTTTGTTTCGAAGAACTTCTGTTTTCCATTCGAGGCAATTTAATAAGAGTACCCCACATAAATGTACATATATGACATACATGTACATTTAAATAATGATAGTAATAATGAATTTGTTTATAACACATACATTGTACATGTACATCCACCACTCCAGGTGCTCGAGGCGCCCCAATATTACCCAGACTCTAGCTTCATGTACGTAGGCAACTGATTTTGTTGCTCACAGCACTTGAGGGACTCCTTCCTACATGTACCTGGGTGTAAAGTGCCAGTTATAAAGTGTACATGTAGGCGAATATCTTATCGAAGGACACTAATGTTGTACCTGGGATCGTCCCATGACTTTTGCATCTCTAGTACTTTCGCATCTCCTGCAAACCTCTAGACCACCACACCTTGATCAGTTATTTCAAGGGGATACCAATTAATTTGTATTTTACCTGTTTATATGTATTTATCTATTTTGTTTTTGATGCTGATATTTGTTTTTATTATTACCAAATAGGGCCTCATGGAAGACCACCAAATTGGTGATAAATGTATGTGCCACCCTGTATAAATATCAGAAATAAATAAATAAATAAATAAATCTTTAGTCCTCTACTACTTCAGCTTTAAACGATTGTGTCCATTCCATTTTAATTACAGATTGTCACCACCATCTACTGGATATCTGAAGCTGCCGTTCAGCTCCCGTCTTACTCAGGCCCCAAGCTTGACACGTACGCCTTTGAATCAGTCATATTTGGAATATATTCCCCAAGATCCCCAAGAGTAAGTACTTCATTCCATCATTACACGTACATGTACATGTATGTTACATGCTTACATTGTGCAAATAAAAACAGTGTGAAGACTTAAACCTAAGATAGTTTTCATCCCTTTTTTTGTTGTTGAGAGCATGCTAAAACCAGCCCCTCCCCCTCAAAAAAAGAATACCAAAAAATAGCCTAATTCTTATTATTCAAGCTTATTTGCATGTATGTAAAACTGATGTAGTTAATGTACATGAACATGTAACACATTTGGAAGTAAATTTAGAATATTCACTTGAAACAACAGATGTAAAAAAAAAAAAAAGGGAAATAAATCCATCCAGGATATGTGTTGACAACTGATTGTATTCATGCAAAAGTGGACACTATTCATGCCTCTCCAAGTAACCAATTCATGTTTGTTCCCCTTCATATCAATCAGATTGTGCTATTTCAATTTTTGTTTAATCGATTCTATACAACAAACAGATGTTTCTTAAAAATAGGTACCTTTGTTTTAGTTCAGCTTTTCAATCATAAACAATTACTCAAAATACTCTGATGACTCAGGCCAATTTTAGAAGTATTTACGTACTTAAAATGGGGCTTATACCTATGTGAGTGCATACTAATTGAAATCAATTGATGTTAAATCAAATTTGATTAGCAACCTGGCCCATTTCCAAAGCAACAGTTGCCTTTCGATATGACATATTAAATGAAAATTGACAGGTCTTTTCCCCTTTTGTACACACAGCTATATAAGAATCAAGGTGACTGGAGTCATTGCACAGCTGTAATGATATACATGTAATTGTATATGTTCATCCAATCCAGTTTATATTCTTTTTAAAAGCCATTCTGAATAAAGTTGACTAATTTTAAGAAATGAAACATGGTACATGAATATATGGGATTGCTTTTTGTGTGAACTTCATGGGATTTTTTTTATTATTATCGTTGTTGTTATTATACTCTTCAGATTTTTTTTCAAAAGCAAAAATAGATTTCCTGTCTAGCTGTGACTAACTAGAAGGCTATACATAATGCATTATATTTTGAGACACAAAATGCAGCTTATGCAAATTTTTGTCAGAAAGAGCATAATGAAGATAAAAAGAAATATTTGTCAATGCTTCCTGTCATAGGTTTCTTTTTTTTGAGTGATCCTCTGCAGTCGCTTTTAATATTAAAGTAATTTCCCATGATGATTGACAAAACAATGAAGGGAAGGGAAGGGAAGAAGCGAGGGGTGACGGAAGGGGCGGTACAAAGCAGAGAGGAAACTAGGGAGGGCAAGAACAAGGGAAGACAAATTAAAAGATGATACAAGTTTATATTCTGCATCCATAATATAATGAATCATAAGCATTGTATTGTCTCTGAATTCTAAAGTGAATATAAGCATTTTATGGAGAGGGTCAGATTTTTTGTTTTTAACAAAGTTTTCCCTTTTGAATAATTTGCCCCAGATTGCTCTCTTCAGAAGTACACGTTGCATATTTACAGAGAGAATTGTTTTGGGGCTTTATACTTTATAATATGGTCAGGTTTTTACATCCGTGCTATATTCAAGTCCAAAACCCCAGTCCAACCGTGGAACGTCACACGTCCTGGTGCTAAATTTGATCCAAAAGTCGATATCTGTGACAGAAAAAGAGATCGTAGATCATCAAGGTCAAGTTACCCAAATCCCCCAATCTATAAAGCTGTCAGGCTGTCGGATTTCATTGCTCTGATCACCGGCTTATGGCTCTTGTTAGTCATGGGCAATAAAGTTTGCAGAGTTTTTTGCACCTCAAGTTTAGATCATTTCTCTTTGCTGCGGTTTGCACATGAATGAGACCTGCTCAGCGCAGGTTTTTATTCCTGACTACATTCCGGATCATTATTTTTACAAATTGTTTACTTGTTTTCAAGATTTGTGGTATACATGACATGTACTGGTATGTATTTTTTTATTACTTCATGATATACATTTACAACTATCATGAATTTTTGTCCTGTTATGGCTTTGTTGTTTATTTAGTGCCTAGAGACGGTAAATTCCACCTTCAATGCTGACTTTTTGAATAAAATCTGCTCAATCTTCACAAGTTTATGTTCCATTTTCATCTTTTTCACAACATGGAATTGTATTGAGAATATTTCTAACTGGTATGTGCTGTGGACACTTCTACAGTGAAACCTGTCTACAAAGACCACAAGGGAGACAAGAAAAGAAGTCTTTACAGACAGGTTCCTTTAGTGCGTCTTTCAATGAGAAACCATTTTCAAGAGAAACAACAAATGTGGTCTTCGAAGACAGGTTCAACTGTAGTACATGTACATATCAGTCTACCTTAAAGTGTATAGCAGTGCTTTTTATTTATGGTTTATCTACATGTAGGTTAGAGACTTAAAGTGTTTTGACCTCATAAGTCATTTACATGTAGATTAATTTATTGACTTTTACACTGACAAACTTTTGTTTCTATTTAATCATTAGGTTCACCTGCTAAAAAGTGCTTTTAAGATCCTGTCTGTCATGGACAGATTATCGAGGAAGGAAACTGGAGCAAGAAAGCTAATATATGAGTACATCCTTTTAATAATCCTGTTGTTTCTCCCTTACAGGAAGAACCTAAGCCTGACGTCAAGGATCGGAAAGGGAGCGAAACAGACAGCGTCTTTGAAGACAATACAAACAGCTTCCTCGATCTTCCCGAGAAGATCGAATACAAGGAGCCAGCGTGGAAGACGGCGCTCAAGGCTGCAGAGTCTGAAGCTCCTGTGAAACCATCGCACGGTTTAGACACAGAGTCGGTCCCGACCAAAAGCCAGGAGAATCCAGGAGACGAGCCGGTTGCCGCCAACGGAGAAAGGACACTGTCCTCTGATGACGCCGGTCAGGTGGTGTTGAGGCAGCCCAGTGCAGTTCGATTACGCAGGATGGAGCGCAAGCTGGGAAAGAAATCGGGGCCGCCTACTTCGGCCAAGCCCCACTCCCGTAGCCTCAGTTTGCCAGAGGCGACCGATGTACTGATCATGAGGCAAAATGCCTTGGACTCTAATCATAACAGTGCAACCTATGAGGATTTAGATGATGAAGATGAGGAAGATTCCAACATGTGGAGATCGGTAAGCTTTCAATTCAATTATTAATATAAGTATATTTAGGGCATAGCGCCATAATATCTTCAGTACGCTCCCGAGAGAAATTATTATTTTAGAGGGAAATGTTTGATTGCCCCCTTTCATATTTATTTAACTGAGTCTAATAAGACACGCAGTCTTTGATTTTGTTTCACACATTTCCTGATTTGGTAATGACAACAAAAATCCAAACTTGGATTTTTCAGAGCTCTAAGGCTTGGAAGGTGAAGATATTACTTTTAAAAAAATTAAATGTTGGGGTTTATCGCTTCAATTCTGAATGAAGCTACAATCTACAAACTTAAAGGTATAGACCAGTTTTGGAAACGCCCCCCCTCTCAAAAAATGAAATGGAAGCTCTTATTACCAATCATGTGAAAGAATATGTTATTACTAATATGTGATGATACAAATTTTGCCAGGGAGACCGCCTACTAATTGATATATTTGGTAAATTATTATGTCTATCTGGACTGGATAGATATTGCATAGTCCCATATACATCTTTCTGTGTACAGTGCTTGTAACTTGAACAAGACTGGGCCAAATTTCTTATCATTTTGAATTTTTGATGATTCCAGAACCTTGCAGTGATACACACCAATACTTATATGCTAGATGATCAACCTTTTCTGATCGATTCCAAAACGTCTCTTCCACAATGCAATCGCAAGACTGGAACTCAATTTTATCCTTAACACTTTAAAACATTGCTTTCTTTCAGAGCTTCAAGTCGTGGAAGATGAAGCGGAATGAGGTGGCGTCCAATGTCCTGGAGCGCAAAGCCTTCAGGGAAGAAGTAGACACCTTGGAGCAGAACAAAGACAAGAAGAAACCCAAGACGTTCAGAGAAATCGTGGAAGAAAAGTGAGTAAATTCATGTGACGTGACAAGTATCATTAAATACAAAACCATTAATGAAATATATTGCAAGTGCATGGCCCCATTATGGAAAGCAGAACAACTGCCAAAATAAACCGAAGACAATAGATACAGCCTTCAAGAAAAGCGATTACCGAGGTACAAGTAATGAGTAATGAATATGCAAATTCTAGCAGTTTATAATTGACTCATGCTCAGTACGAGCACAAGGTAGGATTTATTTTTCTTCAGGAAAAAAAGCAAAAGATGAAATAAGGCCTTCAAGTATTTTTTCAGTAATTGTCAAACTTCCGGGAATCAAGCAAGGATATTGCATGATTTGTTTTCAAAGTGGCAGCCTTGCTGATAGATTGCCTCTTCCCAGGGCAAATTTTGAAGCTAGGATAGGCACACACAGTTTGCCTGTGTGTTAGCTCCAATCACTGAAACCTGGCACTGTTCAGTACTTTTTGCTAACCCACCATTTTGGTATTTTTAAGATCAACAAATCCATTTTTTTTTAGATTTCTTTGATTCTCTGAGACATATACATGTATATATTATGGCAAGAATTATTTAACTCTATTCATTCAATTAGAAATGTTTTGCTCACACTGCTCTGGACTAATCAGTAATGCAATATACATGTAGGTTGTATCAGTAAACTTTAATATTAAAAGGTGCATATTGATTTGTATCTTATGGTTGCTCTGCATTCTGAAAGTTACTTTTTGTCTGTTTTTATTTGTAGCACCTTCCAGTGTTCAAGTAGTAAATACAGGTCCCTTATTTGTTTAGGAATGAAAAGAAAATGTTACATGAATAGGTGGTAAATAGTAAATGAGTTTCAAGCGTTAGTCTAGATTGATTTCTATTGGATTTATTGCTTTAAAAACATAAGCAGGTTTGCGAGGGAAATAATTTCTAGCTTCGATTTTTAACTCCAACATTTGAAATAACGTGTAGGAATAATATCTACAGTACACCCCAATACAGCGACTCCAGGGGAGTGTTTCACAAAGATCCTAGGTTGAACTTATCTCTAAGTTTGACTTAACAACTATGGAAAGCCTTAAGAATCTTTGAAAATATTTTGTAAAAGTTATTTTAAAAGGCATAAAATGTTGATTCAAATCATTCCTATTTTCTATAATCATTGGAGATTTCATGTTCTTGGTGTGGAATTATAAAAAGCCTAAAATACTTAAATTTTCACTTCTGAATTTATTTTATTTTAAGGCTACAAATGGCTCTCCGTAGTTTTTAAGTCCAACTTGAGTTGAGTTCAACTTAGGATCTTTATGAAACACCCCCTTGCCTTTAAACACCTTTAATGCCCGCAGGCGGTGTCTGTGCCAACACTCAGTGGTATTATCTTAGACTTTGGGAGTCAGTTGCAAAGTTCATGTGACAGTCTGGCAAGGGGAATGAGTAATTGGGAGATTAGGGCGATATATTGCCCACCCTTGCCAGTGTATTCCTAATAGATTACCCACCCTTGGCAGTATTTAATTCCAACAAGCTTATATCCGCTCCTCAAACATGAAGTTCATCTCTACAAGATTGCTTTTTTCACCTGAATCTCATTTCTTGTTTTTCTTCTTCATGTGGTTAATAATAATAGTAATTATAATGGCTTCTTGTATAACGCACATCGTTGTGACGCTCCTGGCGCTGCCCGATTAGTACCCTGGCTTTAGTAGGGCGGCCATTACAGCGCTCTAGCATTTCAAGGAATTGATTCCTGCCAGGTACCCACTTACGTTACATGTACATCACCTGGGTTGAGTGTGGCAAATGTAGATCAATGTTTTGCCAAAGGAAATTAGTGCCGCGGCAGGAACTTGAACCACGGACCTTGTCATCTCCTTTGTAATTTGTAGAACCACAGACAGACTCTTTGTCTGTTGATATGTAAAGGTATTTAAATTAACCCACATGTACACTCAAATAGTTGGAAAAAATACATGTTTAAATAAAGCAGTCTGATATGTACACATGTACATGATTATGAATGCTGTATTGTACTAATTTTACGTCTATTTGTAGATGAAAGAATTTCCAAGACGGGATTTATGTAATTGATATAAAAGTTGGAGTTGTAGTAATAAGAGAAGAGAAATGGTTCACCATAGTGTACAGTATGTTAACCATTTTATGATGTAGCCTAATGTGTTCTGGTTAATTAGCAGCATGCTTGTTGTCGTTGTGGTGAGCATGTGTGGTTAATTTGGTGATGGGTGTACTAGTACAGACATGTAGTATAAAGCAACTAAAAAGCAAGTCACCTGTTTGATGCGTGATCATTAGTAGCCCAAGCTCATTAATTGCCACCCCCTGCATACAAGTATCATCATGTGATATAGGGGTATTACTAGGGGGAGGGGCTGTCAGCAAATTGCAAATGTGTAACATTCAAGACCTATAGCCGGGCTGGTTGGGGGCGGGGAGAGGTCTTTACACGAATAAAAACAATTGTTAATACCCTCTTTTGTTACCACCCTTGTGAAATTGTTTCTGATGATGTTTTAATTTGAACCCCCTGTGAGTACAGTATGTTCTGTTTACTGTACTTCATATGTAATGAGATAATTTTTTTTAAGTGGGACATAAAACAATAAAATCATCAAAGAATGTATTGACTGGCAACACCCCCCCCCCTCTACACCCCCCCCCCCACCCCCGCGAGACACATGCCAGTGGGTAGAGAACGGGAGTTGGGATATTGACCAAAAGGGACTGTTAGTGTAAACACTCGAGCTGTTGATAGTAGGTGCAATAGTTTGTCTTTTCGGTTAAATAAGTTCTTCAAGAGGGTGCAAAGGTCTGTACGTGTACGTCACGCAGTATGAATCAAAGAGAAAGAATGTACATGTACATTACTCATCTGGCATCATTGTCGATGACAACTTGCATATTTAAATGTATAGCTCTCATTGTAAATGTAAAGGGTTTGAAATTTATAGAGATGAATTGCATTGTCATGTAACTATGCATATCCCATATCTTTTCTTGAGTTGAGATAGTAATAGAAGGATTTGAATAATGTTCAATTGTATAAGTCTACAAAAAATTTCAGGGGTATTCATTGTAACATCCTTGAATCAATCCTTTAAGAATGATTGAGCCAGTTTCTCTTGAAGTGCAGGTTCTGCATGTTTTCTACTAGAAATATATACAACTTAGATAACATTGTCCATACTTGTACTACAATGAATGTACACGTACACTTGTTTTTAATATCCTCCTCATTCGAGGTGTACAGATTTGATGCTTCAGTGTTTGCGAAATAAAGTCACTTCTGAATAGATGTGAAATACATAATTGTGTATTCGTTACAGCCTGTCATTGGACAGGTTTTGCTTTCATCCTCCACTAACCATGCATTTGAAAGTCCTTGCTGCGTCCATTACAGTGAGGTAATGATCCGCATCATCTGATAGCCCTGGAGTACACACTGGGCATACATGTACATGTAGCTTTCACACAGGACGATCGCTGGGTAGGGGTGGGGTATAAAAAAGAAACAAAAAGAAACAAAAAAGAACCAAAAAAGAACAACATCTAAATCACATTGATAAAGTGATTGTATACATGTAATTACCCGTATGTAAATATAGGGGTAGGGTAAACATTCAAGAAAACAGGGGAAGCAGAGTTGTCTTACAAACCAATAATTCATTCTTGTGAGGGGCGGGGTGAAGGGGGGGGGGGAGCATTGCTTTAAGTTTGTAAAAGTTGTGACATTCAGTACAGATTTACAACAAACTCCTTGAAAGTTGTTGGTGTAAACAAAATAGAAGAAAATACCAAGCTTTGATAGATCCGTTTCAATCCTGTCAAATATTTTGTTGTCCTTTCTTCTTCTTCCTAGCTCTTAAGAGGAATTAAAGTTAAATACAAATCCTTTCTAAGCTAGCACTAGGTACAACCTAATTCTTAAATCGCTTCTCTGTATTGTTCATTTTGTATATTGTATGTAAACTTTATCTATACCTTTTTTCCTTTTTCCATTATCTTCCATGTCTTCCATGTCAAATGAACCTTGTAGATAAGGAGCAAGAGTATGGGTTTATTGGTTTATAGTGCCTATAACTTTAAATTGTTCCAGATTTTGTGATGAATGTTTTCCTTTCGGTGTGCACTTTAATTTTAGATTAAAGATTCAGTTTTCATTTTTGTCATTCTCATCAATCTTCAATTTCATGCATTGGAGAAAAAGTTTGATACGTATGCTGTTGCTATTCTTGTACAAGATCCTCCTTTATCCTCTTTTTTCACTCTCTTGCTATCATTCTTTTCCCTTCTTCGTCCTTATTCTCTCCATTGTTCTCCAACTATTTACCTTCGTAGGATTTAATTCCTTGAAATGCTAGAGAGCCATAATATGGCAGCCATGCTAAAGCCAGGGTAATAATCGGGAGCGCCAAGAGTGTCAAGTTTGACAGACATGAGCGCTATACAAGAACCCACAATTATTATTATTGATTTTAAAACTGAAAATCCACCTTCTTTCCTTCGTTCTCAACAGAAAACGGAGAGAGAATCTTCTTGTTAAGAAGTCATTGCAGAAAAACGTTTGTTACGTATTCTGTTGCTACCTCTGTATTCTTCTACGAGATCCTCCTTTACCCTGTTTTTCCATTCTCTTGCTATTATTCTTTTTCTTCTTTCTTCTTTCTTCTTCCTTCTTCTTTATCCTCTCCTTTGTTCTCCATTTTTTTTAACCACCTTCTTTCCTTCGTTCTCAACAGAAAACGGAGAGAGAATCTTCTCGTCAAGAAGTCGTTGAAGAAGGAGCTGGAGAAGGATGAGATCAACGCCATCCTCACGTCGGTAGATCTGGTGGATTCGGATTCAGAGGAAGAAGAGGAGGAGGAGACTCGACAGGAGCAGCACTCTCAACTGGAGCCAGTCCAGGAGGTAAGGATCAATAACCAAGATATATAATCTTTGGATTATCCACTGATTCATTGAAGCTACATAACTTTATGTTGGTTTCTATGATTAATATTTGTCATCATCTTATAATATTTATCTTACTTTTTATGAGTGATAATGAATTTAACTGGACTGAATTGAATTGAATTTAAAATAGAAGAAGAAGCAGAGAGTGACTCCTGGGAGATCTGTCAAAAGAACTGTAGAATATGGAAAGCAATACCCTGTAAAAATTATTATCACCAAGGTCTAAGGAAAATCATTTGAAACAATAGCCAAGTCCATTTTCAAGCTGAGAAATAGCCAGTAAGCCGTGTAGCATTTCAGTCCATTGTTGAAATTGGCATCACTAAAATTATTTCTTGAGTATCAGTGATTGCATTGTCTAGTATACTCCCTTATTTTAGAAACAAGGTTCACAACATTTTCTGATGACATATTATGAAGTTCCTACATGTAGTTGATAATACTGCATTGAATAGGACTGAAGGAATTATATCCTCCTTGTTTACCTGGGAATGATATAGTTTCAGTGAAATGTTATCTTACCAGCAATAATGAAAAAAACATGTGAGATTTGTAAGGCTCTGAATACATGTGGAAACAAATACTCAATGCGCGCGTCGGAAAGACAAAAAGAGACCACATAAAAGGATCTGACTTATAATCAAAGGAACACCAATATTAAAGATAGAACATTCAAAGATGAAACAATTAATTATATGCTAAATTAAACAGAAACGTTTTAAGATTATTTTTCTAAACACTTCAATGAATCTGGAGGGAGAGCATTCCACAGAGAAGGCCGTGCATGAGCAAAGGTCTACCCCCTCCGCCTTAATTCCTCCCACAATACATGTACATGTAGTATTGAGATTTGAGAGAGTTCAGATCTGGACGAAATGTCTTGATTAACAGTCCTACTAACCGGATCAATCATGCTTTGGTATTTTAGCTTGTTTGTAATCACACCAATATATTTATGTTCTTAATACATTTGTATGAATATCAAAGGTACTGATACATTCCAATTTTTTTTTTGGAGGATTCAATAAATCTATATATACTTTTTTTCTTTTCTTCATTAACAGTACCTTTGGTATACTGTACATGTATTATTTAGACTTTGCTTTATACTTTACACACTGTATAGTCATCCTGTTTAACACAAGCCATTGCAGTTTACACATGGGTTAGATTTGAAGGATTCATTACTTTTGTTTATTTACAGTAGTTCATGTTATTGATACAATTCTTGTTGCATTGTTTTTATCATACTTTTCCTTCATTCATGTATTACATGTTTAATAACAAAATAGAGAAAGATTTGATACAACTTGTCAGAGTATAATGTTTTATGGAAGTAATTTTTAAAAAATACACTGAAGACAGTAAAAAATATTTTGATATTACAAATAACTTGAAGGGATTAATATTTTGACAGGTATTTTGCTTCACCTCCTATTTATTTTGAAGAGTTTCCTATACATGTCATGTTTATGCATGCTTTGTTTTGGTTACCCCCCCCCCCCCCAACCCACCCCTCCTCTTGTGCTTTTGTAGCCCTACCAACAGGACCAACGGGCCAGCACCCTCCCAATGAGGGGTAGGAGAGTGTCCCCCGCCACCACGGCGCCCCATAAACCCTTCCCCATCACAGCTTCCAGTACTGCACCCACCAGCTCAAAGCCTCCCCCTTCTGTTGCCCCCAAGCCCAAGTATCGGCCCAGCGCGGGAGCCTTCCAGCCGTACCGACGCAGCCAGTCTGTTAGTACATTTTGTTACCAAACTAACTTTGCCTCTCCTGCACATGCTTTTCTGTTTTTTCGCTTTCAGTCTTGTAAAACAGGGTTTGCAGTGTCCTTTCTTTCTCATTTCCTCCACTTTGCTCACCCCTATCTACAGTGTATCTATCTCTCTTGCTGTCTCTCTCTTTCTCTCTTCAAATATATAGTTCCCTCTTCATATATCTCTCTCTCTCTCTTGTTTCTCTTTTTCTCTCAGGTCTGCGTCTTCACGTATCATACTATATAATTGATTAGCTTGATTTGAATCGGGTGTGCTGTTCGTATCTCAACATTTAATCATTCACTCTTCGTTGTGATGTGTTGGTTTGCTCAGAAATACTGCATGACAGAACGTGATTCAAGTCAAACTAGTCTATGATTTCTTCTCTCAGATAATTCATTCATCTGGCTCTGCTGCAAAGAACCAGTTGATCTTCATTTTCAACGACTTTTCCTTTGATATTTTCCAAATATTGTCTGCTGCTTTGTGCTTTCTCTCTCTCTCTCTCTCTCTCTCTCTCTCTCTCTCTCTTCCTCTTTTTTTCCCTCTGTCTCTTTGTCTTTACAAATTTTTAAAAACTTTACAAAAATTAAATTGGCTGATTTTGTACTTATTAGTCTGGTACATGTATTCACCTTTCATTCCTCTGTCATCTTTGTGCTTTGTCTTGAAATGCGGTGGGCTTTCTAACTTTTATACCTAATGCAATCATCATAATCACTATTAACTGAAACCAGTATAATGTATTTAAACTGCACATATAATATATTCATTTGCAAAATGGCACTCATTCATGTAGTAATTGCTTTTTCATCTGTGCTGTAAGAAACTTGAGGTTTGGTTGTAATATCTATTCCTTGCATATACAATAATATGCTTAATTCCTTTCCTTTATTAAATACTTAAAAATATTATCTTTCTTTTACAAACATATATTTAGCCTTATAGGTGAAATGTTTTACTTCTGTAACAAGAAACAAAGAACTAAAAATACATTTTTATTTCCTTTCTACAGTCAAAAAGCAGTGTACATGTATGTAAATGTTTGTGTAGATGGTGGGAGAGAGAGAGAGAGACAGAGAGAGAGAGAGAGAAAAGAAGAAAAAATGATACATTATGTATATTGTTCTCTACAGTTGAATTTGATACAATCCGCATTAAAGCTGAAAAGTCCTCACAATTCTGTAAGAACCGAACTGATCAATGCATCGATGTATCTCACCTCACGTTTGTGCTATCATAATCAAATACACATCTCATTTCACCAAAAATGGAGTCGCCATGGCAACAAATACATCATTAAATACGAGGGGCGCTGATCTCTCATCCCTCGATCTACTAAAAGTTAATTGCACATGGCACACCTGCTCCTATTGATCTGAATTAAGAGCAATTGGTTCAGTTTTACACGATAACAGGATGTCCTTTGTAGGATTATGTTCAATCACAGCTGCAAAAGCACTTTTGATATTGTAAGCTATATAGAAAGTTTGGACTTTGAATATTGAGGTGTTCAGCCAAATTGTAATGATCCATGCTGGGTTAATGCTAAATTTAAGCATATCAATTGAGCCAAACCTTCTCTCTTATGTCATCTGTTAATGAGGACATGTACCTGAAAACATAAGCTTTATCCACCGAATGAGGATGTATTTTTGTGATAACACATCTTGGGATTTTGTCTTTAAAGCTTTTAAACCATGTGATCAGTTTGTGAGGGAAGCAGCATTTTGTAGGAATGCCTGCTCAATATAATTTCCTTCACTTTTGAAAATGAGGAGAGGAGCACCTTGTGTTTTGCAATTTGAAAATGAGCATGTTACAAGCAAATGACTATTTCAAAATTTTTAATTCATGGACATTTCCAAGATGTTTGCAATGCCTCCTTGGATCAAAGGCATGCATGGTGTACCTCTTTCGAACAATTTTGTCCAATGCGATACCAGTTTACCTGGTTATTCTGTAGAAAAGTTATCTGTAGAAAATAAAAGATGAAATCGCAACATTCTGTATTATACTCTATTGAAACTTGATGCTTGTTTATATTCTTAGCGTAGCACAACACGGTCTGTTTTAATTTGATTTAAATTTTCTCCTCGTACTTATTGAAAAAGCTAATGGATCGCAAAATACAAGTTTGATACAATTATTTTCTTTCTCTGTTAAACCCTTACAATAATACCCTCTAACCCAATATGAGTTCTAAGTCTATTCATGTGAATGTTTACTTTATTGGTGTTAGACTCTGTATGCACTTGGTATCCTTCTACTAGCAACGTAAATTAAACATCTTTTCATCTCTTTCTCATCAGGCTTGTGGCTCACTTTTGTATGAAATTCTTTCTGAAACCTTCCTCATATTTTTTATTTACCACTTCTCAACTCTGAGCTACTCAGTACGTGTGCAAATGCCTACTCTCAAAACATAAAAACTATCAACACATCAAACAAATACTAGAAGCTTAAAGTAGAATTAAATTTGTAAATCTTGTAATTGTCAAATTGATTATGTAGATGTTCTCAATTTTATAGTAAAAATTCAGATAATGGTAGTATTGTACCATAAATAATTTGAAATTTATTGATGATAAAGTGCGGTCGACATTTTATTAATACATGCACTTGCATGATGTTCCATGGATATTTTGTTCTTGAGTCAAGAGAGTAACACATTCCTTGAAGGACATGAATGCATTACATGTTAAAGGGCAAGTCCACTCCAAAAAATAACTTAATTACACTAGAAGCAGAAAAATCAGACAAAACAATCAAAACAAGTTTGAGAAAAATCGCATAACTAATAAGAAAACTATGAATTTTTGAAAAAGTATGTAAAACCATGGAATAGTGGAAATCAATTTCATTTTTTAAAAATTTTAACGCAACCGTTTCCTCTCTTACAGTTGAGAGATGGAGTTGATTACGCCGATGGCGGAGACCACCACCACACCCATACAACATCCCCGTCTCCCACGGCAACCACCCCCTCGGAGGAATCCTACCCCAGCAGCTCCTTCCACGAGAAGATGCTCCGGGACAGGGAGCGGGAGAAGGAACGGGCGGAGGCTTACAAGAAGAGCCAGGAGCACGCGAGGAAACCCAAACCCAAGCGGATGAGCATGGGCATCATGGGGAGGATCGCGGCTTTCAACAGCGGAGATGCGTTCAAGAAGAAGGAGGAAGAAGAAGAGGCGTCGTCGACTGCATCATCTGCTCGGCCAGCCGAACCAGCCCAGTCACAACAGGTTAGTAAGGCGGATCAAATATATTTAGGAGTTGTGTTGGACGAACATTTATCATGGGATCCTCACATTAATTATATTTGTTCGAAAATTTCTCTCAATATTGGTTTACTTTGTCACATGAGACACTTCATTCCTTTACAAATTTTATTGTTGATGTATAATGCCTTCATTTTACCCCATGTTATGTTTAACAAGTTGTGATTTTTCTATGGTTTCCATCATTGCTCTCAAATACTCTTACATTTTATGATTGCGTGAAACCATCAACCTCTCTGGTAAAGGTTATGTATTCTAACTTCGGTTGTACATAATCATGATTAATAAGTAATGAAAAAGAAATGCAACTGAACAGAACAAAAGACAATGAATATCTTGTCTACCAACAGTCATGGTTCGATGAAGATATCTGTACACGCACCACTATCTTGCAACCTGGGAACTGTGCCATTGTATGATTCAGATCTGAAAAATATATAATAAAGTCAAATCTGTATATACATGTAGCGACCGCCCAAGGGAAACACAAAAAGTGATCTTTGTAGACAGGTGGTCTTTTTAGACAGGTTCCTTTAGTACATGTTTCAATGAGAAGCCAATTTCAAGGGAATCAAAAGATGTGGTCTTAGTAGACAAGTGATCACTAAAGCAGGTTTGACTGTATGTTTATTTAAAATCCTATCCAATACAGGAGACTAGAAGCTACGTAGAGCACGACATCACCATGCAGAGAAGACCAAGGGCCCAGGGTGGGTTTGGATTCACAGTGACAGGTGGCATCGACAAGAAGAAACCCATCGTCGTCAAGGGCATCGATCCAGGTAAAAACATAGAGCTCACGCTTGCAGTCCCATCTGTTGTATTTTCTGTGGGGGATATTGGTGGTAAAGGACTTTGACTGCAGTCCCTGATTATAAACGGTAGTCCTTAATTACATTTTTTTTCAGCTCCTAAAGCCATTGAATCACCTTTTTGAGTTTGGTATGGTGGATAATTGATTAGATATTATAACATTTAAACAGATTTTATTATATTTACTACTTTTCTTTTAATTTCTTGCTCTTTTCCACTACCTCTCCCTACTCCTTTCTCCTTTCCTCTATTTCTTTCTATTCCTTTCTATTCCTTCTCCTCCCCCATTTCTATCATTCAGTTTTCTTTCCTTTCCCTTTCAATGATCTCTGTACATTTGGCTCTCTTTTCTCTTTCTCTAAATCTGTTTTCATTTTTGCAATTTGTGGGCATTTTTATCTGCTGTGTATTTGAGAACTGCAAGTTGGGATGATCTAATCTCTAAAGCCCACTTGTGTTTGCACCATGTTTAAGGCACAAACATTACAACTCTTTTCTCTTCTTTCATTTGTGTTCAGGGAGCACAGCTGGTTCGAGTGCGCTGAAGATTGGCGATGAGATCACTGTTATTAACAATGAAAGAACGAAAACGTTTGATCAGGATGACATACAGTACAGCATCAGCCAGGCCGTGCTGTCCGGCCACCTCATTCTCAAAGTCAGGAGATATGACGATGGTAAGGAAGGGATGATCATGATGAGTGGTGTGATTGTGCTGGTGCTGAAGGCTGGAATTTGGGTCTTGACGATGTGTATGATAATAGTAATTATAATGGCTTCTTATATAGCGCACATGTCTGCCACGTTGTGACGCTCCTGACATGTAGTGAGAGATAATGTTTATGGTGGTAATGACAGGCATGATATTTTCCCCATTTAGTTTTGTTTTCCAAGGAATGAATCCAATTTTCCAATCATTTAGCCCGACTGTAATTTTATACACAAGGTCAGCATTTATTGTGATGCTAAATTTGTTGCAAGCTGAATTATTTTGGCTGATGTTTTTGGACCCCCTGGCCAATGATGTCTATTTTCTTTAGCCTTTGTGAATGTTATCCCTGTAATGAGATGTGGTGGTAGGGGTGGTGGTGGTGATGAGGATGATGAAATAGATGGTGAGAATGATGATGATGCTTCCGATGGTGACGATGATTATAGCAATAGTGATAACTATGATGTAATTGATATTAGGTACGATGTCACGATGAATGCTACTGTTTGTGATGATGATAGTTATATTTACATGTATATACTTACCAGTAATATTTTAATAACAGAAAGTATTGGAAGATGATGGTAATGGTACTAATGATGACTATGGTATTTAATTAAAAATTGTTATTCATTTTTTTCTAAACTTTAACCTACATTTCTCCTTTTTCAGATTCCAATCAACTCAGATCAGTATCCTCCTCATCATCAGCATCATCATCCTACCAAGACTCTTCAGAGAGAAGATTGGAAGAAGAGAGAAGGAGAAGGGAAGAGGACGAGAGGGAGGAGGAGCAAAGAAGGGAAGAGCAGAGAAGAATTGAGGGAGAGAGGAGGGAGGAAGAGCGACGAAGAGTAGAGGAGAGACGAAGGGAAGAAGAAGAGCGGCGAAGAGAAGATGAGAGGCAAAGGGAAGAGGAGCGAAGAAGGGAAGAGGAGAGGAGGAAAGAAGAAGAAGAGAGATGGAGGGAAGAGCAGAGGATGCAGGAAGAAGAGGAGATGGAGCGACAAAGGGAAGAAGCAAGAAGAAGGCGAGAAGAGGAGGAGGAGGAGGAGAGGGCCCCTGCCTCATCCTCAAGGAACGCTCTTTCAAAAGCCAGACAACTTCTTGATGATCACGAAGAGGAAACCAGGTAGCTAGATTTTCTTTTTATTCCACATTACGTATCAATATCATGGTACATCCCTTTGTTGAAGAAGGTAGTAAATATGACCATCAATCAATACAATATTCATGATACATTTTAATTGCAGTAAATGTTGGTACATCTATTTTGCTGACGGACTATTTCCGGAAAAGAAAGTTTTAAATCTACAATGTTGCCATATCAAAGCTTTTTTTTTTGGGGGGGGGGGGGGATCAAATTAATGTTTCAGCATTATGATATTATTATATTAGATGTATATTACTTTTAAGTAATATCACTATTTTTGTTAACTGATCACAGATAAAATGAATGTTATGCATTATGGCCAGTCTTTGCGATTCGATTAGCTGTGACATTTTATTTGTCTTAAAATATCAGCATTGTTTTAAATTCCAGTACACTTTGAAACATTTTTGAAAAACTTTACCATTGTATTTATCCACTAGTTCCGAAGAGACCCCACGCCACGAGAGGGAAAGGATGTATATGAACGGGAACTCCCAGGATAAGGTGAGAGACACTGGATTGCTATCTATTAAAAAAAGAAGTAGTTGGCCTTTTTCCATTGATTTGCAGCGATTGGTGCATGAAATAAGAAAACCTCATTTGCATATGCATGTTGGTTTGTTTTCTTCAATTTGCATGACAGCTACATTTATTTACCTTTGCTACATATATCTTGCATGATTACATGTCATATTCCAACCAAAATGGACAACAAATCTGTCCAGTTTCTTCTGCTTGATGACTCCTCATAAGTCAAATGCTAAGGCTGAACATCTCAAGTGTCATTTGATTACAGAGTGTAGTGTACACATGTTCCATTCGTCCAATTTACATGATAAATTACATATATACTTGCTGATTTTTTTGTGTGGATTTTTTTGTTTGTTTAAACCAATGGCTTCCACCATCAGTATTGTCCATCAATATTTTCCATACAATTCTAATAGAACATCCTTCGCTCTACAAATATTGTGACAAAGAATTGTCAACATTTTACTGCTAAATTTTCTTTATCTCAAAATATGCACATTTTAAATCTTTATTTTCACTATACTATTAGTAAAATTATAGTTTGCACCTCTTTGGCTACATATAAAGTCTTTTTTCTTACATTCCACCCTTGAGCTCAAGTATGTGTATGTGCTTGAAAGCTTTCTTCAATGTAACTTTTTACAAGTATTTACCATAATTATTTAAAGTTGTGTAGTATCGGACGCCAATCAAATAGGATATTATTTCTTAGCCAAGATATTCTTTTCAGTTTCTTTATTACTTTTTTTTTCTTTCTAAAGAGATGTAACGATTGAGCTTTTGTCCACTTTGTAAATGATGATCAAAATTTTGTTACCCTAAGCTGCTGCACTGCTAAGGGTTATTTAGTACATTGAATGTGCAGTTTGATATTAGGTTGGTGCTCTTCTGAATTTGCATGAGAATATCTAAGCTATGTCTAGCATGTTGCATGTTATGAAGTATTCCACCTTTTAGTTTGTAAACACTTCTGCATACAGTATATTGCAATTTCTCTTTCCCTATTAAACCCCTACCCTTCCTACAGCCTGCTGTGGATACCTTAGATGGGTTTTCCCCTTCCCAATCTCCACCCCACCACCGACCCCACCCATCTCCTCCAGCCTCCCCTGTCCCATCCCTGCCCCTCTCAGACACCATCCCCTCTGATGGGTCTGCACCCAGTACCAGCAGCCCTTTCCCTGATGCCTCAGTGCATCGCCATGGCGATTATGGTGGTGGCGATGATGATGGGGAGGGGGAGGACGATGGTGCGGAGGGGTTGGAGAAGGCCTATGAGAAAGTTTTAAGGACTAGAGATGAGCTTAATGATACCTTTGGCACGGAAGATTCTTTCTTTGCCTCAGAGGTAAGTATTGAGAGTGCCAGGGGGGTGTTTCACAAAGATCCTAAGTCGAACTTAACTCTAAGTTAGAATTAAATATTATGGAGAGCCATTTGTAGCCTTAAAATAAAATATATTAAAAAGCGAAAATTCAAGTATTTTAGACTTTTTATAAATTCCACTTCAAGAACATGAAAACTCCTTGATAATAGAAAATGTAAATGAATTGAATTAACATTTTATGCCTTTTAAAATAAATTTTACAAAATATTTTCATAGATGATAATGGCTTTCCATAATTGTTAAGTCCAACTTGGAGATGAGTTCACTTTAGGATCTTTGTGAAACACCCCCAGCTCTGATGATTCATGATCATTCCAAATCGTTGTTTGTTTCCTGTTGCTTGCAAGTGTGGTAGTGTAGCCCATCGGCTTTCCATTCCTGCCGCAAAGAGCATCCCTGCCCTGTTCCCGTTTGGCAAAATGCATGTCTGCAGTGTTGTGTGCAGTGTCATTCTCCTGTTCTACAGCCTCTAATTGGTCCTTGTTTTCTTGGACTTCTATGTCAACATCGTCTTTCTGTTGATGTTTTGATGTCTACATATCGTTGCTGTTTTCACGAAGTGACGGTAGTGAGCAAAAATTGCATTCACTTTGCGTTACGATTTTCCTCACTACCGTCACTTCGTGAAAACAAGGACGATATGTGTGCTGTTCACTTATCATTTGTGTAACTCTATTCTGAATCTGTTCTATAAAATACTTTACATGTCTTTGTTCCAGTTGTGCCTAAAGAACTTCATGATCAACTTCTTGTTTGACTATAATTTTTGCTTTCTATTGGGAAGAGGGAATGATCGTGTATGTTTTGCAAAAACTGCTTTGATCATAAATTGAAATTGATAAAGAAATAGGAAAATAAAGGTAGAAAATGTCACACAAGGTTTTCTTTTTGAAGATCCCATAACGCTTTTAATTTAAAGGCTGAAATGTTTACTTTGTCTCGTATATAGTATTTTTTCATGAATAAAAATCATTTTCACTTTATCTGTGCCTTATAAATCTTTTGTTTCAAGTGCTGCATTTTTCCTTTCTAAAAATCACCATTAATTGTGATTTGCTAATACATTTGTACAAATACCTTGTTGTCTTGAAAGTTGTCATTTAAAAAATATTGGCTTTAATTTTTAAATCTTTTAAATGGCTTTTGTATCTTGTGTTTGCCTCTCTCATACCTTTTGCAAAAATTCAGATTCTTACTCAATCTTGTGCACAAACGCTTCCAAGATATTTGATAGCCTCCATTCTACTTCAATGTACAGATTGTAGTTAACTGATTATATTAAAATTTAGAGAGAAAACAACTCCCAAGTTTTTTCAGGAAGGTGCAATATTCGAACTTGTGTCAAATGAAGAGAAATGGATTTCATCAGTACTCTGCATGTTATGTTACATTTATTTCTCTGTTAAAAATATGATTGCTCTGTTCAGCTTTTGTTCTGAATTTTGTTGCCCAAATTTCTGGAAACCCTGTGCTTGGTAAAGTCTGGAGAAAATAATATTTTAGATGTCATTGCGACATTTTCTATAATACTAACTGTAATCTAATCTAATCCAATCTTATCCGATAATGCTTGCTGTTTGTATCACAGACTCCGTTGATGTCAATTTAAGCAACATGATGCAAAGTTCATAATCAACTAATATTATTTAAATATTTGTATTTATTCCTAAAAGTTTACTCTAAGACTTGTATATATTTCTTCAAATATAATAATAATAATAATAATAATAATTACATTTATAGGGCGCTGTATACAGATGTTTCTAATTAATTATTAATTAATCATTAAACTGTTGGTGTATATTAAACTGTTGGTGTTTAGCATAATAATCACTGGATCTGATCTTTGCAATAAATACAAAAAAAAAATTATCTTTATGTTGGAAAATTTGAAAATAAAATGTGAAATTTCGATTGGAAAGGTAAAAACAGATTTATCTGGCCAGACAGTTTGTTTAAATGAATAGAGAGATATTTGTAGGGTTACAGCAAACAATTACTTACAGGTGTATAATTGACCTTTGACATTCGCTGTACTTTCAGGGTACGAGGGATGATGATGTCTCCTCGCAAGATGAGAGATTGGAAGAGGCGATCATGAGCAAGCTTGAGCAGGAGGAGAAGGAAGAAGACGAGAGAGAAGAGGTCCACCGACAGATCGAGGAGGATGAGAGGAATAAGGTAGGATGGAGTAGAGAGAAAAAATTTAGGAATGTGCACTCTGTTTCAATTATGTATATTGAAACAGAGTGCTGCAGGTCAGTGCATCTAGTTTTCAAAATACCTTATCCTAGTTTTTGTCCACCCATCTTGTTAATCTCCCTCTTCTGATAAAATGTGTACTTGACCCTTACTCTCTCTCTCTCTCTCTCTCTCTCTCTCTCTCTCTATTTCTCTTCCACCCCCTCTCTTCCTTTACCTCCCTTAGTGGATCAGTGGAAATTCATGTACATCAACCGTGTTCTCACAAAATGACACATTATTGCAGTATTTGTCCACATTTACAATGCAACCTCTAATTCCAGTTCTCTGAATTCATCACCATCGGACTAGTGCTGTTAAGAATGTAATGATATTTTGACCCTTTTCATGTTGTTGTTGGCGTTTCCATCGTCATTGGATGATTTTCGCCAAAATGTTGTTGTTTATGCTTTTAACAGGCCCATGTATCGTCAACAACCATTTATCTATAATTTGGTAATCTTCATTTTTATTCTCAGTCCCCCATCAAAGAGTTCTCCATCACAGCGGAGGTACAGAAGACGGAAGAATCTGCCCCGCCCAGGAGCGGTTTCTCGATAAAGTCCACTGGATTCAGGAGGGTCCAGGCACCCAGACCCTCTGCTGCTAGCAAGAGCAAAGGCCCGGAACCATTCAGGTGGGATTACATTTCCCCTTTAGAGGTGGCATTGTGGGAATGATGGTGGTGATGATGATAGTGATGAGGCCTTTAAAGAAAAACGTTGTATTGCCATTTAAGTGCCAAAACATGGGTCGGTCAGTCAGAAATCATTTTTTTTTATAAACTCCCTCTTTGGGCTGATATACCACTGTTTTAAATGCTTTAATACATTTATTTACTCACAAAACGGTAACAATTTTTTTTTTTTTTTAAGCCGACCGTCGATTTCAAAATGTTTGGGTCGGTCGCAAAGGGCAATACAACATCTTCTTTTTTTTTAGGCCTGATGGCGGTGATTGTGGTGGTGGTGATTGTGGTGGTGATAGTGATGATGATGATGATGAAGATGATGATGATTATTGATGGTGGTGATGGTGACGATGAAGACGGATGTTGACAGTGATGATGATGATGGTGATTGTGGTGAGGATGATTATGGCGGTGATTGTGGTGGTGGTGGTGGTGGTGATTGTGGTGGTGATAGTGATGATGATGATGATGAAGATGATGATGATTATTGATGGTGGTGATGGTGACGATGAAGACGGATGTTGACAGTGATGATGATGATGGTGATTGTGGTGAGGATGATTATGGCGGTGATTGTGGTGGTGGTGGTGGTGGTGATTGTGGTGGTGATAGTGATGATGATGATGATGAAGATGATGATGATTATTGATGGTGGTGATGGTGACGATGAAGACGGATGTTGACAGTGATGATGATGATGGTGATTGTGGTGAGGATGATTATGGCGGTGATTGTGGTGGTGGTGGTGGTGGTGATTGTGGTGGTGATAGTGATGATGATGATGATGAAGATGATGATGATTATTGATGGTGGTGATGGTGACGATGAAGACGGATGTTGACAGTGATGATGATGATGGTGGTTGTGGTGATGATGATTATGGTGGTGATTGTGGTAGTGGTGGTGGGAATAATGATGTCGATGGATTATATTGATGGTGGTGCTGGTGGTTGATAATGGCAAAGAGGTACCAAAATTTATTTCAAATATGCAATTTTCATTTTCCAACAATCAACTTTGTGACTCATCTTCACTTGATACTGAGGCCTGTCAATCGAATCATAGAATATCAAAGTTCACCTTCCCTTTCCTGTTCGGTATACATACCCACATCATTTCTGATCCACACTTATATTCTTTTTTCCTCTCCCTGTCACTCTCTTATATTAGGCCCCAGCCGGCCCCCTCATTGACGACGACGACGCCGCATGAGGACAACGTCCGAGAGCGGGTCAAGAAGGAGCGCTCCGACTTCTTCCGTAAGAGCGCCGAACCAGAGGACACGCCCGTCTTTGGTTATTCAGGTAGTGACTAGAGCCATGCAGATGTGTGTCAGATCAGGTCAGGTGATCGCTTAAGGAACAGTGTCATGTGACAGATCACATGACTGAGCAGTGAACCCTTTGCCCTTTGCATAAGAAGATTTACAAAGAGCAATGTTGTAGGATGGATGCGTTGGGCTTTCTGTTTAATAACGAAGAACCACCCTTTAACTTTTTACCCATTCCTAATGAGTTATGTCGTGAAGAAGAATAATGTCACTGGCTTTGTGTGGCTATAATAACGAGTTTGATTGACCATATAGAATGACCTTCTGGGATTGAATAATCTCTACACATGATGCACAAAACTTAATAAATTCCTAACTTTGTCGGCACCCAAAAGACTTTTAATTTCATAACCTTGTTAACATAACATTCCAGTGGACTTATGTACTCTGTGCCAGACATTTCAAGGTATAATCTGTTCATATTAAACCTAAAATATATTAAAATTCTTCAGGCTTGTCCCTGGATTCAGATATCCAGATTTGTAAAACAACATTATGTGAAATACATTCAGCCCCCCCCCCCACTCTTTCCATTGAATTTTAAGTACATGGTATATAATTTTAAAATTATAATTCTGAGATACATTTCAATCGAGATCACAACATTTTCAGGTAAACAGACCAAACAATATTCATTTCATATGCAACATTCCATTGATTTTATTTATTAACTCTGAAAATAATTTCAAGCACAGGTTAGCCCTAGGACATTTTGTTTATTCCCTCAATTTTTTTTCTCAAAAATATAATATTGTTGTGCATAAAGATAAGAACCACAATGCTCTGTATGCATTTATCTGAATAAACATTGGTGTCATGTCCCAATATTGTGTTTCAGAACCCATACATACACATGTCATGTTGTAATTTATGATACCATTCTTATTTGTTATGCATGCATTTACAGTTGAAACCACAATGCATTTCATTTTAATGAAACCTTTAAAAAAAATCTTTGTTCAATTTCCGGTAGACTCCCTTCCCTCGCTTCCATTTAGAAGTTCTATATAAAATCCATCTTGACATGAAAAGTAATTTAATTTATTTCCTCTTCAAAACATTATAAAATATCTCAACATTTTCCACCTTCATATCTTGGAGCATACTGTACATAATTCTGAAGAACATGTGTGGTGGATATCTAACCTTGTCTTTAAAAAAATATAAATTCACTTTTCTTTATATTACGAGTTGTAAACCATCATCTTTCTTCTAAACTTTTACGTAGTAAATCACAATTACCAGGTAGAAGGGAACTGCATATATGCTAAAGCTAACACTCACATACATTTGCAAGCAGCTGACTTAACAAAGTTATAACATTACCTTGAAGTTCATTCCCATTTTTCAGCGCAGCCATTCCTGTAGTTATAGAGCAAAGTGCTGTCTGCAACCTTCTCCATTCCTCCTCCTCCTTCTAACAAACTTCCCATATTTCTTCGCACTTTAATTTTCTTTGTCCATATTCTCACTATAAGCGGAACTAGCTTCAAATGCAACATTGTTAAATGATACGATGTTGTGCTCTAGAGAAGGATTAGCTTTGATGTATACCAGAAGAAAAAAATAATAATGCATTACTAGATCAGTTTATCAGATTAGAAAGCAACATTTTTGTCTTGTTACTGACAAGAAAACTGGGCTTTTGCTTTAAAAATACAACTCTAATGCAAGATGTTAGCAACAGTTATACCATGTTATGACATAAAAGCTATTTTTCAGAATTCATATATTCCATGAACAACATACTTATGTGCAGCTAAATCTGTCTTGCAAGGCTTTCCAAAGGAAATCAATCATTTCTTCAAGAAGGGGAGGGGGGCGGGCGGCGGTGGGGGTTCTAAAACTGTCACATTGGACATGTAACTTTTATAGGAAAATGGCCACTTTACAGGTTTGGCTGTACATATATATCTAAAGTGAAAAAGGTAGACTAATGTAAGTTGCTCTCCTTCTTGGACTACATTTAATCATGATAATTCCCGATAACATGAAATGAACAGGAGAACACAAAGAGGGTTGTAAATTGTAAATTCTCAAAATATTTTATGACAATATACAGGAAATGGATAGTACGGTTTTGTTCTCAATGTTTTGGTGTGGACGTTCAAACTTAATTTGTGACTAAAAAGACTTGTCTTGATGTGGATTATACTGTGTATAACATACTCATATAAAGGGGTCATCATTTCTACCCCAGTTTGGATGTTTTCTATGTTTTTTCCGTTACCTAGTTCGAGTTTTTGTGTCGTGTACATAATTGTAGTTTCCGCATCACTGCCCTTTCTATTAATATGTGCGTAAATTTGTTATATGGCATTATCATAAGTTAAGAGAAATTATAGTTTCAAAAGCTGTATGGTTGAATTTAGATGGTAGGAAATGTAGATATTATAATCATAGTTACCTTGATTACTTTAAGATTCAATCTTGTTCAGTTACTCTGAGAAAACCTCAGTTTATAACTAAGCTTATTTCAAAGCCATGAAGTTAATCTGGCTCTCTTACTTTTGTGCAGACAATACATGTAGAATTCTAATGCATGGTTGTTCGTGAATTAACGCAGGTCTTCATATTGCCTTATCTTCATGCTATGAGACCGTAAAAACTTTAATAACCATTCCATCATGTATGCATTCCTCTAAGCTGTACCAAAAAATATAAATGCATAAGAAAAATAGCAAATAGCATATTTAATGATATTACTTGTCAGATCATATGGGGTTTCAAGTTTAGTGATCTAGATTAACAGAGCTTCATTTTCCAAATGTTTCTTTGATTCTCGAGTAACGATGGAATGTTTCATTCTCTCTCCTCTTTACATTGATACCAAAAATACCTGCCTGCGATTTCCTCATTCATCTCTGTTACAATACTGCATTTAATTCATGCCATATAATGTCTTTCTCATGTGGAACTACTCTGTGCTGGTAAATAAAAAGTGTACCTTGGAATCCACATCCCAACTCCGCTCAGGCATTTGTTTCTTCAAAAGGAGGTAAGGTCCCACCAAACCTCGAAAAGCGACAAATCAGAAGAAAAAGAAGAAAGAAAAGATACACTTTCTTATCTTATCACATACTCTTTCCCTGTCTCTATATCTTCTGTAAGGAAAAAATAGCTTTTGAATGACTCTCACGTAGATACCTAGTACTAATCGCTATTAACCAACAGTCAAGCATGCAAATGGGGCAAATTAGATTCTTGTAATTGTATGTTGCTGCTCCATGTGCTGTAGGCAGATCAGTCGCTTTAGGCCCAAAGTGCTTCATCGTTTTACATCCTGAATTAGAATTGTACAGACAGGTCTTGTAGAGGATAAACAGGTATCTATTCTAAAGTAAGGTATTTTAACCTTCATGTAGGTTTAGTAAATGGGTACAAAGGTGAAAAAAACGAAATCCTTGAATGCTTGAGCACCTTGTATGATGAGCTTAGCCTCTTTGGTGATTCCCTATAATATACTGTAAAACTGCCTAGGTACATTAATCCATACGTCCCATGTGCTTTACAAAACTTGATATTAAAATCTTTACTTAGTATGAAACCTGCTGCTTTATAATAAAATAGGGGTTGTATAGATATAATGTCAACTTTTACTGTGGGCTACACTTTAGTCCATAAATTCTTTGTTCTGAGGCAAATTGAGACGTGAACAGATTACTAACAACTTAAGATAAACCTAAGAGTTGTTATTTACTGTATTCTGGCTAGGACTTTTTGAAAATAAAGTTTTGAGGCTAAAAATATTATAAGAAGACATGCTATGATCTATGGGCTAAGGGCTTGGAATTTTCTAGTTAACATGCGGTTAGAGTGTACCAGTTTACTGTGTATCTGTAATCATTCTATGCAATTTAACGGAAGCACTTTAATCTGTTGAAGTAGCATTTTAGATGATTGTAGGCAATCATTATAGGCTTTTGAGAACCTCTTGTGCATTGGCAGTGACTTCATCAACATGTTCATTCAGTCTAAATTCCTCAACTTTGAAGTAAGTTTTGGCTCCAGCTCAATAATGCCACCTGTTTTTAAAATTCATTTATCAGATGATAACGGTTCGATGCAAAAAAGATTTTACCCAGAAATACAAATAATCAAGATGTTTTCTGTGGCTTTCAATCTACAATTTTGATATTGTTTTTTTCGTTGTGGGACCTTGCCTCTTGTGTTGTCTTTAATAATTGTATTGACAATGGTGATATGTACTGGTACATGTAAGTGTGTATGTTGTCATGGATGTTACTGGTTGCGCTCAGCTTATACATTGAACACCATTCATGGACTATAAAATACAAATTTAGACTTTGTCTAACTCGGTGGCTCTTAATCTTGGGTCATGGTTCCTGTGCATGTAGGAAAAATTGGAGTTTACAGGCTATGGGTGATAATACATGTATGTCCAGTATTGCAAGGGGTTCCGGAACAAACCAGGAATTGCATTTGGGATGTGGTCAATGCAAAACCCAAGAGGTTTTGGATTGGTTTATGGGGCTCAAGAGGTTAAGAACCACTCCAGTGGTATAGACAATTATAAAAAGCATTTTAAGGTTTAGAATTGGACGATCAATTATCCTTTTTTTATGTTTATGGTTTACATCATTAATATTTCATATTTTCTTGAGTATGAATTGAGTAGAAGTGTTAGAGTGATATAACGCAATATCGCAAAATCTGTGAAGAAAAAACTGCAGGATCTTTCCTTTTCAATTGTTATTCACTGTTCTCTCCTTTGCCTTGCTAACAAATCTGTTCTTTATAACCTCAATTTTAAGTCTAAATATCTTCCTATCTTCTCTCTGTTATCTCTTCTTTTTTTCTGTCTCTTCACCCACCCTCTCTTTCTCACTCTCTCTATCTTTCTCTGTCCTAATATCTCCCTCTGTTTACTCATGGTGTCTGTCTTTTTTCTAGTATTCACTGATTATCTCTCTGTTACTGTCTCTTTGTCTTTCTCTCTTTTTCTCCTCTTTCCCCCTATCAGGCTGCCCCATTTCCTCTCTTTCAAAACTGCATTCATAATAGAGACAGAGAATGGATTTAAACATTCATTCTCGACTTGTAGCCAAGCAAAACATCAAGCTATAGATGGCTTTGTAACCAGCTTTTAGAATAACCGACATCATCACCAACATAACTTTTTACCATCTTCAGCAGCAGTAGCTATAGTTATACCATTATCATGATCACATCATGCCACTATTTAAAGGGAAGCAGGTTTGTCTTTTCTCCATCTCATTTGCAATCGCATTTAATTCTTCATAATCATCATTGTTCTTCGCTACAGTATGTACAATTTGAAGAATATTTTTTACATGCATTGGTAGCAAAATGGAAATAATTGAATACAAAGTGCTGCCTGCTTCTGTTTGCATGGAACAACCACAAATTGATAGACACACTGATCTCTAAACCATAATCTAATTTTGCTCACGTTTCCCTTGATGAGATTTATGTTTTCACTTAAAAAATATTTCAAGACCTGAATGCAATTGTCTCTTTTTTTCCCATGTAGTTTTATTATCATTTGTCCTTGTCCTACGTACAAACCACCATCCCATAGAGACAAAATGTCTTCATACATGAACATGCATCTCCCACATATCATTATGTTTACTAGGAAATTTGATCTCACAGGTTTAGCTTCAAAACCATCATGTAGGATGAAACTTATATAGTTAGCCTCTTCCCTTAGGTGGATGCCCCTAGCATAAGCATCTTACCATGATTATACAACCATTCCCTCATTTCATTTCCCAAAATCCTTCTTCAGAAAAAAAAAATCCATTTGCCATTATGTTACAACATATAGTATGACTTCTAGTGAGATTGTATATGAACAGATCTGTAAGCTGTAGCTAGAACGCTACACATTTCCCACAATCCTTTGTACCTTACGGACCCAAGCTTTTTACCCATAATACCTTGGCTGAGTCCGCCCACCCATCCATCCATCCATCTTTCCTCCTCCACGACCATCTTCTTCATGTGGAGTTTGTTGTAGCTATAGCAACGAGGAAGCCACCTTGGTAAGTGCGACCATCTTAGAAAGAGAAATGAAAGTGACTTGTTACACACTGCATGCTCTACTAACTACCTGAGCCAATGACGGTAATGTCTGAAACCTTTTTGATGTCTCTTTTTGTTTTCACTCGTCTTATTTTGTTTGTCATGGGTTAATGCGACTGAAATCAACTGGGATGAGCCTTAATTAAAGTGTTTTATTAAAGCATGGATAAAATAGTGAGTGGCTAATTGAATCGAAAAGGGCATTAAATATGGGCCCTATCCTATTTATGAAAAGCATTTGTACATTTATGCAGGTGAAAAGATTAAACATAAGCATGTTAAAAAATTATTCTAAACTTTTTAGTTATTGTAAATGATGTTGAAATCATTTTGCTTTGCTTTTATTTAACTTTTATTTGCCTTCTTAAAATATGATTTCTTTTTTCAGTTTGATTTGCATACCAATATAGATTATATTTTGATTATTATTATTTGTAATGCATTGTCATAGTAGGAAGCCTGCGAAGCCTAAGTAAGTGTCATACAAATTTTGATGAGAGTGCATTGTGTGTGTGTGATTGTGTGCCTGATTGTGTGCGTGGTTTTGTGCGTTTATTACACACTTGAACTTAAAGATCGGTAGACGTGTACTTGCTATGTTTGAAGTAGTTGTCCTCGCTTTTCCTTGAATATGTATGTATAAAAAACTGCCTCGGTAGCGTGACAAATTATGTATAAACAATGATTATTATAATAAAAATTTAACCTGAATTTAAAAAGAGAAGAATGGGTAGAATAGGCATGTAAAAGTCATATCAGAATGTTCTGTAAACTACAAATTACATGTAGGTTGCATAAGTAGAGTTCTAATTAATTATATGAACTGTTAATTCTCACATGCGTGCTTTTGTTTTGTTTCATCAATTTCTGTATTATAACCTGCACCCTGATTAATCAATGATTTAATATTGTGCATGCCCTTCAAAAACATCCAGCTTCCGATACTTTAATCAACTATTTGATATCTCCATTTTATATCCCTCCATCCTGCCATGTTATTTTTACAAACATCAATGTGTAACCGATTACCATGCATGTTTTCACAGCTGTGTCAAATATAGAAGCATGGAAATTATTTATTCAATCACACTTTACCCAAGAAACCTTTTCCCAAGGAACAAAAACATCCATGATTTTCTATTCATATTTAGATTTTCGTTTTTTTTCTCTTTCAGTTTTAAAGTGTTAGATTTTTTTTAAAGAGACATGGTGAGTATGTAGTTTTTTAGATGTTGGATTGTTTTAGAAATGCAGTCTGTTCTGTTAATGAAAATATACAATTGATAGATATTGGATGATGTTATTAGATGCAGGACAAAATGGTGGAAGAAAGGCGAATATCTTAAAGATATTCAGAATTGTAATTTCATCTTTTGTTTTGTTACTATTATAGCTGCTGAGGACTTAAAGATGGATGACAACATGGAAAATCTCTGGAGGAAGGTGGAGCAACCCAACCAGGAGACTGCTCCTTCGCAAGGGACTTCGGAGAGCATGGGAGGGGTGCAGAGGAGACAGAAAAAGAGTGACGTGGATCCAGCCAACAGGAGAAGCTTCAACTTGGATGAAGAGCGGCAGCGGCTGGAGAAGTGGCAGAAGGAGCAAGAGAGGATCAGGCAGGAGCAGTACGAACAGGAGCAGAGGAGACTCCAGGATGAGCAGGAGAAGGATCTGCAGAGGGCGGAGTATGAGAGCAGGAGGAAGCAGGACATGGAGCAACGTGCCCTGCAGGAGAGGCGGAGAATGCTGCAGAAGAAAGCCCAGCAGGATCTGAAGAAGAGGGAGGAGGAGATGCTAGAGAGGGAACGCAAGGAGCGGGAGAGGAGGAGACTGGAGCAGCTGGAGAGGGAAGAGGAGGAGGAGAGGAGAAGAAGGGAAGAGGAGAGGTTACAGGAGGAACGAGAGGAGAGGGAACGGGTAGAGAGAGAAGAAAGGGAGAGAGAAGAGGCTGCTAGGAGACAGGAGGAGGAGCTGGCTCTTGTCCAAAGGTGGAAGGAAAAAGAGAAGAGGGCCAAGGAAATGGAAAAGCAGCGGATAAGGGAAGATCGGGAAGCTAGGGAGAGGAAAGCAAGGGAAAAGATAGAAAAGGAAAGGGAAGAATATGATCGATTACTGAAAGAGAGGGAAGAGGAGAGAGAGTGCCTTGCGAGGGAACAGGAGGAACGACAACGTGTTGCGATGGAGCGGGAAGAAAGGCAACGTGAGGCCCGTGTAGAGGAGGAGAAACGTGCCGCGAAGGAGCGCGAAGAGAGAAAACGGGTTGCCAAAGAAAGAGAAGCAAGATTACAAGCTGCTGTTCAACAAGAAGAGAAAGCTAGAGCCAAGAGACCATTTGCTGATGAAGCCATCAGGCCACAGGTCCAACAGCATCAAGAATCAGCCCCACCTCCGTCACGTCAACACCATCAACCGGACGAGGATCTCCTCCAAAGGATCCGGGAGGAAGAGAGGGACCGCATCCGACTTGAAGAGCGGGACAGGCTGCGCATTGAGTGGGAGCAGCTTGAACAGGAGAAGCAGGAGCAACTGGAGAAGCAACGGAAGGAACGAGAGGAGATTGAAAAGCTGAGGCGAGAGCAAGCCGAGCTCCAGAGGGAGCGAGAAAGGCTTGCGCTTGAACAGCAGGAGGAGCTTGAACGCTTGACCAAGCAGCGAGAACTCTACTCTAAATCCATGAACAATGTCTTTGATGATGAAGACGTAGAGAGGAAAAATAGCTACAATCGGAGGAAACAGCATGGCGGTTCTGAAGAAGACCTCAGGAAACCGCACTCGTCGAAACCCTTAGGAAAAGAAATCATGAAAGGAAAGATGCTACCAGAGAGAGACTCCCAACCAGGAAAGTCATACATGGGGAAATACAAAGGTTAGTCTACAAATACTGACTTTTAGGAAACTTGATACATGAAGAAATTCATCTTCAAATTCCCAGTTTCTGTGCTGTTTTCCAAGTTCTATATTTGTCTGTTAACACTTGAGGAATTTAGCTGGGAGTCTTTCCCTTCCAGGCTGTGGGACCACCAATGTTTTCAGTGTTTAGGTCAGTGAAAAAAGTTCAATGACAAAATAGTTTTTTCATAACCACTTAATCAGAATCCTTTAAAAATTAACTGAATTTTAAAGGACTTCAGTTACAGTATACCTAGATATTTTAAAACTGAAAACACTTTTGCAAATAAATTTCAGAGAGAATGTTTGACAACATACTATTGAGCATAGAGAGTCAACTAAATCATGTCAAAATGGCCATCAGTAGTACAAGTACTCTGGTGAAAATGAAATGATCCGCAACTTTTCCTAATTTCCGCAAAACTTTACTGGTCTAAAACAAGTGATCAGTTCCATGAATAATACATCTGAATGACATCAAAGCCCCACTGCACTACTTATATCTACTTGCGCCTTCTAAATAGCAAACAATGCCTATTCGGTGCCTGTTGGTCTCCCATGATCCCCTTTTTCTAATGTTAATTGAGAGCTGATTTGATGAGATAACGGCCTGTCAGTGACCTTGTAGAGAGGTCTGATTCCTCCTGGCCAAACAAGTGCAGACAGGCTTTAAGACACTTTCACATTAAACAATTAATCCCTTTCCAAGTCTCAATCTACCTTTCATCTTTGATATTTCCAGATGACAACCTCCCCACAGAGCAGCACTGGCTGGTCGAGGAGGCCAAGAGGCGACAGCACGGCCCCCTGGTGGCTGGCAAGGTCATCAACTCCCTCCCCATCCACCCCAGGACGGACAGTCTGGACCATGAACCGGTCCTGGAGAAGAAGGTCTACAACCAGGAACATGCAGCACCCCCACCGTCGTCTAGCAGTAATCATAACAACGCCAATATCCATGAGAAGGACTACGTGAAAAATGGTGAATATCTTTTAATGTTATCATTCCAAAATGCAATTGTGACCATAGTGGTGGTTGTTACTTTAGTTAGTAAGGCACGAAATCACGAAACTTGCATGGATTAGGAGAGCCAGGTGTAAATACATTGAGTGATTTCAAGTAGGGTGTTCGTGTTGGTGTTGGTGTTGAGAGCGTGGAAAGGCTGCTGAACCGAGCTCCAACACCGGTCAGTTTAGAAGGACGATACCGATTACGCTAGTGCGCGTTATCGATGGCTCAACACCAGCCCCAATGCCGAGTGACGTCCTACTGTACACCAAAAGTCTTGCGATAAAAGCGTAATCCATTCAGAAAATCCAATAAATTACATCATTTTGAATATCAAATGTAAAGCCATATTAAAAAATCAATAGATAAAATATCATTTCTCTTGAAAAACATATATAGCTCCCATGATTTACAGCTGTTTTTACTGTACAGTGGATTTTCACCTGGCATGATCGTGAGATTTGTGCCAGATGACCGCATAGTTACCTGCGGTATAGTGCAACACCAACCCCGAACTTGAAATCATGAATTTCCCAATCCCTAGGGGCTGGTGTTGGTGAATGGGAAAATAACACGTAAATCATCAACACCAACCGCGGTACTCGGTTCAGCAGACGACATTCAACACCAGCCTCAACACAGACTAGCGTAAATACGTCATATTTCCTGAGGTCAATCCCAACACCAGCCTGATTTCAAGTTCGGTGTTGTGGCTGGTGTCGGTGTTCTCACAACACCAACACCAGCTTTCAACACCAAACTTGAAATCACTCAGTGTATGTCATATCTACAGATGGTGGTGCTATTCAAAAGTAATATCTCTTGGAGTAGATCAAGATGGTACCCTTGTGGTTTTCTTGGCACAGTTTTGTTTTGGATAGGTTAACTTTACTTTTGTTTCTGATTTGAATTATTCCTGAATACAAGAAGCAGCAAGTTACAAAACCATGCCTTTGTTGCCTTTTAGTCGGGGCTCACCACTGACTGGAGCCTAGGACACATGGGCACTTAAAATCTTAGTCCAGACTCCCAAATTTTTTAAGTTTCGATTTAGGGCATGTACGTACAAATTGTAAGAAGCTTTTTCCAAAATTGATGTTGTGGAGCTCTGTTTTAGTCAGAAGACAGAGGTGATATTGGAATACAAATTGATACTGTCAAGTCAATAAGGTGTTACTGTTGTCATCTGCACGTTGTTCAAAGAATATATGATACAGAGTCTTCTCTGCTTTTATTCTGTTTAGAACCTGTTGGCTATGAGCAGGAGATCCCCACCCGCATCCCACCCCCAAACAGAGTGCAGTCTGTGCAGGGCTCTGCTCCTCGGACCAAACAACCAACTCACCCCCACGACGAGCCTTCCCCATCGTCCTCCGACAACACCAACCGATGGGACGGACCTCGCCACCAGTACGACAACCAACCAGAGTTCAAGCACGTGCAGCGACGCATGCACGGGGCTCCTGCGTTGGACGCCGAACGCAAGCAGAAGATGCACAACCGTCGCTCGATGCCCGACCTGACCAAAGACCCGGGGTTCGCCGCGCCTGTGACACGCATCATGGATGACCAGCACATCCCTCGTGGACCCGGAGGGGGCGGGCCAGCTCCGAGGGGCGTGGGCCCACCCTCGCCCCACCATGGGCAGCAGAGGGGACCTCCTCCACCCCATCATGGGGGACCAGGAGGGGACCAGAGAAGGCAAGGACCTGCATCTGATAGCCTGATCCAGGTAAGTGGGTCCCTTGCTACATGTATTTTCTTGCTTTGTATAGACCAGTTTGTAGTCTACAGTCTAAGCATGAGTAAACAGTACTCATTTTTTTTGTTGGAGGTCTGGATTTAAATATTTTGGGACTGTATGCCTGAGCACCTTGGTAACGTTGGGAACTTTTGTAGGTCCTGACAAATGTTTGGTGCCCACATGGCCTGGCTACCTTTTATTATTGTCAAGCCCTGAGGGAACTTAGGGTCATTTGATATATCCTCCCAAGTTTATGTAGTCTTTGCTCATGCATATGCTAACTGTGCACCACTCACTCCATACAGGTGGAGATACTCTTTAGAAAGAAGGAAACAAAAACAAACAACATAGCCCTGCGATCACTTTGAGAACGGTTACTCTTTTAAATTACATAGTGGGACCTTCTTTGTTTTGAGACCTTTGCATTATACAATGGTCATGTCACTAGGGAAAATGTGAACTACAAACTGGTCTATCTCCTATGATGCTTCAAGATGCATGTGAAAATGTAATAATACTCTGTGCACCAAATTAGTCACACATTTATTCAACTACACATGTAATATTTTGTCTTAGTTTTCCAATAGGTACCACTCATTGTGCACTCTAAAACATCCATAACTGTGCTGCTAGAAGCGCACTATTCTATTTGTGATTTTTGTATGAACTATGCATGATCAGTTATTGGAATGTTAACATTAAAATGACAAATTCCCTTACAGTATAATATTCAATGTATAGAATTGAAACTGATGCTTTCTGTCAATGCTAATGATCTCCCTTTGTATATGAATTAACAGTGTAATGTTTTCAGGTAACCTTGTCTTGAGTGCTGTTGTTTATAAAAATTGCATTTGGGAGAAACTGATTCATGAAACTCATTTGATTATGCAATAAAATGGTAGACAGCCTCAGCAGAATACCGATTTGCTGAAAATTACATGGAAATACTTCTACAAATGTTTTTTTCTTAGCATTTTGATCAAAATGGTCTGCAGATACCATCAATTTGTTGTCTCTGTCACCCAGCAGAAACATTGTTAAATTCTAGTATAGCCATTTGATTTGTTTTTTTCAAGAGAGATTGATACCACTTGATAACTTTGCTTCCAAACAACATGGAAATGTTTTTTTTAAAGTAACTTTCCAAAAATATAGCCCACAAGTACAATTGATGTGGTCGAAAAACAGGGCTCCACTCTAACCTTTTTGACAGGGGGTTCATTTTGCTTTTAAGACACTGCACGTACACAGGCCTCTTGTTTTTACAGTCGAACCTGCATTAGTGACCACCTTTCTACAAATTTACTAAGACTGCATTTTTTGTTTCCCATGAAAACGGTTTCTCATCGAAACATGTACTAAAGGAACCCGTCTACAAAGAGCACTTCTTGGGTTTCTCTTGGGCTGTCGCTATAGACAGGTTTGACTGTATTTCCAAATTGAGGGATTTAGGAGTTCAAATTTGGGATCCCATCACTCCCATGTGCTTTTGTCTCCCATTCGATTTGAGCTTTATTTAATGTAAGGCCTAAAAACAAAGGATGTTCTATTGCCCTTTAGGTGCCAAAACATGGGTCGGTCGGTCAGAAATCCTTTTTTTTTTTTTTAACTTTTTTTTCTCCGTCTTTGGGCTGATTTTTCTCAGTTTTCTAAAAAAAAACAGTAAAAAAAATGAAAATGAAAAAGCCGACCGTAGATTTCTAAATTTTGGGGTCGGTCGCAAAGGGCAATACAACATCTTTTTTTTTTAGGCCTAAGTATGCTACAAATGTTTGTCATTGATGTGACTAATCTTAAACGTAGAACATCCTACACCGAGCCGCACAGAAGAAGGCCTATCCCGGCGGTCAGGAGTCTCCGTCACGGCCTTCCAGCTCCCTCTCGTCACAAAGCGACAGGTAGAGATGCCTTGATGCAAGACTACATTCAGCCTTCTCCCCTTTTTTCCTCTCTCTCTTTCGTTCTGTCACTCACCCCCACACAATATATCATCCTACAGCATCCATACTAATAGCTCTCACTACCTGCAGATTCGAGCTAACTCGGCCAGTACCTACATTTTTCTCCAGATACATGTCTGTTGCATAGCATCTTGCTTTCCAGATAATTGCAAATACATGCTGACAAAAAAAGAAAGAAAGAAAGCTGCAAAGTTGATGCCTAAGCTACTTAAAACTCTCTACATGTAGTATCTCTTTTTGCTTGATTTTTAAACTGTAACCATAATGATGCAACTGATAGTTTAGGAAGATTGCAGGCTAGGAAAGCTTCTTTAATAGCCTACACAAATACAGTGGATATTGATGTGAAATGAAAGGGTTACATCTGCATGTATTGAATAGATTATATACATGTATTTAGTCCATAAACTGTAGCCAACACGTCAGAAGGTTCTGTAACAAAACATGTAGCAATGGTGGAGCATTCCTGTGCAAAATGTTATTAACTAACTTCCTTAATCTTTTCCTTTTCTCCTTCAGTAATAGCTCTCTTGGCAGGTGACCCACATAGGTTTTTCTGTGAATGTCAGAGAAGTTAAGTCATATATACCTTTCCCTGCACCAGTAATCACCCAATGGCACTGTTTTTTCCCTCCAAAACATCAAGGTTGACAGATTTGATGACCAAAAAAAAAGAAATTTGCTTGTTGATGTCGAAGGGGTAAATACAGAAATCTCCCAAGGATTCAAATAGTCCACCCTTTTTATCTCCTTCCCCCAGCCTCACGATCATCGAAGAGCGGGTCCCAAGAGCCCGCCCGCTCAGGTAAGGGCCAATCGGGGCCCTCCCTCTTCCTCTTCCTCGCCCCAAGGGCGTGGCCCACCTAGACAGCAGCAACAGCCACACCCGCAGCGACCGCCACAGCAACATGCCCCAGGGAGGGGTCCTCCGGGTCAAAGGGCGTCAGCCTTCCAACAGCCCAGTAAGAAACCCCCTCCCGGCCGGTCCGTCAGCGGCAAAGTCTCGTGCTCCAATTGTAGCAAGTCGCTGGGGAGGGGCGCCGCCATGATCATAGAGTCTGTGGGTCTTCACTTTCACCTAGAGTGCTTTAGGGTGGGTAGTTTTTTTTAGTGTGACCTTAACATTTCACTACTCCCAAATATTTACAATTGTGCTGTTTTCTGTAGAACGTTCAAGAAATACCCTCAGCAAAAAAAAAGAAAAAAAGTGGACACTATTTATAATTAAAATTTTTTAATTAATTTTTATTATAAACTAACCTTTCATATATCAAAACGAGAAAAATTAATTCATCATCTTTATCAAAGAGGACATGCATTTGGAATCATAACATTCATGTGTGAGTGAGCATAGTCATTTAAAAAAAAAAGAGTCTCTGAAAAAAAACTGCAAGAATAGGGCATCGGGCAATTCAATGTTGATGAGCACTGGAGTTCTATCCTATACCTCGTCCACAATCTTGGGTGAAAAGGACAGGCAGCTTGACCGCGCTTGTCCAAATCATGCAATCCTGAGACTGCAGTTGACAACCAGAGCTCAATCCTCAATGTTTCTCATTCTTTGCTTTCATTGTTGAACCAAAATGTCTTACAGATGCACATGTTTATTAATTTGAATGACTTCTTGCTCTACTTTTTCAATGAAAGTTCCCATCCAAGCGTGAAAGTTTAAAATTTGATCTAAATTGACGTTGTTAAAGCATTAATTTTTCTCGAATATTATACATGTTTTATTTTATTTTATTGGTTTATATGAACATTTTAAACAATAATATGTGTCCACTTTTCCTATTTTTGCTGAGTGTACACTGTAGTTTGCGATAGTACACACTAATCGTATCTCCTCTATATTTTTTGTCACAATGAGCTCACCAACACTGCACAATGCCATGGTTCACCCACCTACCATGATCGGTACCTTTTGGGGATTCTATCCTATCATTCTTGGGTACCTTACTACATGCAGGTTGCACCTTTAGTCAACACTATTGCACCGCAAAGCAATTGTTGGTACTTTCAGTTTACCAACCATGGTTGTTACCTTTTGGGGATTCTATCCTATCATTCTTGGGTACCTTACTACATGATGCAGGTTGCACCTTTAGTCAACACTATTGCACCGCAAAGCAATTGTTGGTACTTTCAGTTTACCAACCATGGTTGTTACCTTTTGGGGATTCTATCCTATCATTCTTGGGTACCTTACTACATGATGCAGGTTGCACCTTTAGTCAACACTATTGCACCGCAAAGCAATTGTTGGTACTTTCAGTTTACCAACCATGGTTGTTACCTTTTGGGGACTCTATCCTATCATTCTTGGGTACCTTACTACATGCAGGTTGCACCTTTAGTCAACACTATTGCACCGCAAAGCAATTGTTGGTACTTTCAGTTTACCAACCATGGTTGTTACCTTTTGGGGACTCTATCCTATCATTCTTGGGTACCTTACTACATGCAGGTTGCACCTTTAGTCCACACTTTTGCACCACACAGCAACTGTCGGTACTTTCAAGGAAAACCTTTAATCTCTAGGGACATACTGCTAATATTAAAAGGACTAATAGCACTTTTTGCAGTAGTATAAACAAACTTTTTTCCATCAAAAATGAGGATAAATTTGGTAAAACAGTAATGAATCCTTCTAGAAAGTGGTCAAAAATTGCCACTTTTGTTCTTCAAAGGTAGTTGTTTGATGTGAGCTTATTACTGCATTCATAATTTGGACAATGACTACTTTAATGCAAATTATGTTTTTAAAAGCTTACTCAAATTCAAATGCTTGCTAGCTGGAAAAAAGCTCTTTGATTCCTTGCAAAAGAAGTTGTCTCTTATTTAGCAATTTCATGTAATTTTTGTGTTTGTTATTGCTTATTGCTTTAGTTAATCATAAGCACTATGGCATTTCCAATCAGTCCTTCAACATTCATTTGAAACTAGAATACCTTCAAAGTTTTTGCTCACCACTTTTCCAAAACAAATGCAATACCTGATCATGTGTGTTAACAATAATTTAGAATGTTAAATATCCAAAATCTTTGCAAAAATGCTTTGCACGGCAAAAGAAAATGCCTCTCATTTGTTTTGCCTATTAAATAAAAAAATGCTTTAAACTTATGTCGGAATAATGTGTGTACTATAGCAGACTTTGTTTTTTATATTTTATTTTAAAAATCTTATTTGTGCACTGTTTATGATGCTATTTAAATACATGTGCGTCTTTGTAGCAAATTATTAACAGTTCTGTGATCAGTTTCCTCTTCTCTTTCTCTATTTCTGTCTTTCTCTTCACCTTTCCCATTCTCTCTCGCTCTCTTCGCTTTCCCTTGCTCTCTCTCTCTTTCTTGCTTTTTCCCTTGTTTCTCTTACTCTGATCTGTAAATTTTATTCTGCAAGTGATCTATTTTTTCCAGTTATCAATGTTCAAGTACAGAAATGTTCATCATATCATTTTAGGAAAAAATAAGAAAATTTCTGAGAAAGTTAGTGCACTGCTGCAGTTGCAAATTCATGCATGTTCTCCCATTACATTACTGAATCCCTGTCTGACTTTGAAAAAAAAATGTTTTTGATGAATATTTCACTTTTTTTCTGTAATATCCCAATACATGTGTGCTACAACACTGCTTACATAAGAAACATCACATACTGCTAACAAACTAAATTATTCATACCCCTAGTAAATTTGATGGGTTTTTCTTTTTTTTCTGTAACTTGAGAATGAAAGTGGACTTGTTGACTTAGGGCCTTTGTTGAATACGTTTATATGACACATACTCAAGAAACGTAAATTGGGACAAATCAATTTTTCTCATACCGGTACTTAAAAGATTACAAAACTTGGTAAGGGTATGAATAATTTAGTTAACTGTACAGTAAATGAATGGTATTGAATCATGCACCTTTCTGTAAAAGCGAGCTTTTTAAAGAAATGCGTAGTTCATTTGCAGAGCATTCAAGACCTAAAGGAAAATGCTTGCCTTCTTAAAGTATTAGCTTTATCACAGTTCATAGAGTGATTGCTTTCTTCACAAATCCACCTATATTGAACTTTCTCCAAAGAAATTACAACTATTTAGATATCAGTTAAGTGAAATAATTCTAAGCCCCTACATATAGCCTTCTTTATCATTGATTTAATAAGGAGTTTGTACATGTACTCTCACAGATATATTTTAAAATTATTGAATTAATGCATATCGTAATTTAGAATTCAGATGAAAGAAAGACTTGAATTATGGATTAATGGGGATTTTACCAATTTAGACATGGTCAGTTTTTAGCTATGTGGCCTTTTATCAGAATAACCCAAAACATTCAGATCAAAAAATAAATTGTCGCTGCTGACATGATTAAAGGCATTAATTCAGCATGAATCTAATTTCATTGTAATTCTACAGCTTCCTGGAATAATGTGACATTTTTCTTTCCATTGGTCCCATCCATATAGTGCTGTGTCTGTAACATCCAGCTCGGAAATGGAACTAAGGGCACTGATGTCCGGATCCGAGCCAGCAAGCTACACTGCCAAAACTGCTACAGCAATGATGCTGGTAAGATAACATTCTCTTCTCTCTTTAAAAGCATCATTTAGCAATGTTAAATCTGAGATGCATGGCCCTACGTGTTATCAGTGTCTGTGATATGGTGTAATATTGAAACCCTAAAAAAAATTGTGCTTCAAAATGATCAAGAAGTGCCTCAAAAAGTAAAAATTTTTGTGACCGTTTCACCCAATAGACTGTAGTGTTAAAAAAACTGTTAGGAAAACGCAAAATTTTATTTTGATTTCCAATCATAAATATCTTGATAATCAGACAGGCGATAGGCTTGTGATAGTCATGGGATTCCTGACTGACCTAAAGGGATATAATGATCATTGCAGCATGAGCTAAATCCAAGATTTTTGTTTAGAATCTGAGGCAAAGATACCCAATCCCTTTAAAGTCCATTGTGATTTAATTGATGCATGGTTAACATCACATCTACATTCTGTCTGAAAACTTCATTATCCAAAGAAGTACAACATTGCGCATTGATATGCCGGTATAAACGATAACCACTTACATGTAACTACTGAAAATGTAACGTGTCTATTCACTATCTTCCTTGTAATTTTAGAGTTGTGCGAAAAATTGTACAAAAATTTTTTTCAAAATGAAATTTACATTGAGTTTTGTGATTAGAATCCATGGAAAGTATATCAATTTACATGAATGTGTACACACCCTGATCTCGCTTCTTTTTGTCTTACCGGTACTTATTGATTGTTTCATTGTTTTCAATAGAAGTCTTAATAAATGTTATTTGTTTGTTCCTTTTTTTTCCATTTCTCTCCAATGCCACAGGATTCGAGTTCACCGAAGTATGACAGTGACTTGTTGTGATACAATCATCCCTATCAGCAAGATTTAGAAAGTTTGAGAGAGAAATAGAGAGTGAGAGTGAGAGAGAGAGAGAGAGAGAGAGAGAGAGAGAATGAAAGCAAGAGAAATAATGAGTGAGAAAGCAGATAGAGCTGTACAGATATAAGAAAGAAGAAGAATAGCGGGATATATCTTAGTTGTCATTTGTTAACTGTACAGAAATGGAACATTCATCATTCGTTGCTCTCTTAGCTGATTATAAACAAGAGGAAGACTTGTAAGAAAAGAGAAGGGTAGCTGGATTTATCTAACTGAGCTTGTCACATTTAAGTGTACAAAAAGGAATCATTCATAATTTTTTGTTAGCCTGTATTAGCTTCTCCACATACTTTGTTACTCTTAATGCTGGGCCCACATCCCTCAACATAGGCTGATGAAAAATGTGTCAGTATGAAAATGTTTCTTTTAATCATCATTATCATCATTAACCTTTGGAAGAATGTGATTTTGGAAAGGAAGAATCGCATTAGGAGTCAGATGGTAATTTGCAATAAGATTAATGATATTTCCCAGTGTGGTTTAAAACCATAATAATGGAAAGAAAATAACTGAACTTGCTATTGTCTTCCTGCCTCTAAAACCTGCCATTCGGTATAAAAATACTATCTGGAACATGAACATAGTAATACTTTATTGTCATTTTGAGCTCTTACCTTGACAAAATCCAAACCATTTGCAAAAGAGTGGCACTTTTACATTTTAATGTTTTATCAAATAGGAATTTCTCTGGCTTGGTCCTTGCAGTAAAGTAAAGTAAGCTAAGTCCCTGTTATTATGCATTTTGAGTGGCTGCATTTTAAAAGTAAATGTAAGATGTCTTCTTTCATAATGTGACTGAAATTTTGTGTGTACGATTTGAACGTGAAGTCAAATTTTGTATTCAGTGAATTATTCAGAGAGAAAGAAGAGAGAGAGAGAGAAAAGTTGCTTTGAAATGCTTCTAAAGAAAAAATAATACTGCTTTTGAAATTTGCCTTGAGCTTATACATGTATAATCAACTGTTTGAAATATTTGTATCGTATTCAGAATTACACAATCATAGGTATTCAAATCTTTTTACTACAGGAATTAGGATTTTTAAAATCAAATTCGCCACATTGAATTTCTTTTTAATCACCATGCCATCACTGAAATTTCCAAAAGTATCATAATTGTAACTATTTGTGAAAAGAAAAGTGATTTTGACAAATCAAATATTCAGTAAATCTTCACTGCCTGCAGGAAGAATTTTAATCAATTTTTTACCTTTGAATTTTGTAGCATTTGTACTTAGATTTTATAGATGTAAAGCTGGTGTTTTTAAAAAACTTTTTAATGTATATTCATCAAAAGTATATAACTATATCATTATCCTGTACTGTTCTTTTTGCAATTGGTTCAGGGAATTAGTTGATACCAAAAAATAAACATGGCACGGTGTAATATGGAAAATAATGAATTATGTACTGCATTTATTGTATACAGCTCTATAAAATTTCAGTTAGTTTTGTTTTTAATATTAAAGGCTTTTCATTTGTTAAATATTTCAAGGAAATACATGTAAAAAGTAGCCATGCTGATAACCAAACTGTACCTTTCTTCTCCAGACATATATAGTTGGATTTTAATTGCAAAGATAAACAAAGGGACATGAAAGTAGCTTATGAAAATAATATTTTTTAGTCTATTTGCAATTAATGGTTGCAAATGCATGTATTTTAGTGTGTGATATGTTCTTTAAATTTTCATTATCATACTGTATGTAAAATTGAGGTCTTGTTTTTACAGATGTTTTATTCCTCTTTATACATTGCACATGTGTGAACAAACATGTCATCAGACATTTCATGTTTGTTTGATGAAATCTTTTCCTTGTATTTTTATTGGATTGATATGTTTTTATATATAGCAGTCTTTTTCTGCTCTGATTTTTAATTTGAAAGCGCTGATTTGTAAATATTGTTCCAGTAAGCGTATTTTTCGTATTGAATTACAGAGACATAATGAAGGAATTAGTCATTTGTTTGTATAGTCTTCCCTTACGAGGTTCCAAAGTTTTCAGGAAATTATAAAAATTGATTGAATTCGTTACATCTCACCGATTATGATTTTACAGATAAGGGTATTGAAACAATGCTCGAGTCTCTGTGTGTAAAATGTGATGGATTGTAGTCTTGTTTCAGACATACACCAAGAATAAATTGATTGCAGATTATCATAGACAATTATTAATTTTCATCAAAAAACAATACCAACAACAGCAGCAACAAACCCGATCTAGTATTTACATGTTTTGTTTATACTCTCATTTTTAAAGAGACCAATACATCGTATCTAGTCTGGTTATTTAGAAATAATATATTGTTTAAATAAGTTTGATAATTATGTTGGCTGAAAGAACTGAAGAGATTTATATGTTAGTGTGTAGGAGAACTCTGATATACACCGTTGGTTTATAAATGTGTATTCAACGATATCATTCAAGAAAAAGGAAAGAACAAAAAACCTCATTAACCATAGAAAAGCTCAAACACACTCATAATCGTCTGGGTAGATTTTTGAAAATTTTGCTAAAATCTGCCATTGTACCTTCCAGCTACCACTGTCATAGAGCACATTTTATATGGTTTGGTATCAATTATTTGGAACTTGCATGGTACTCCTTCCTCTAGTATAGCACACAAGTATTCACTATCAAAATGCCTCTTACTCCATCCAATTTTTTAATCTTCTCTTCTTCACAAGTCCTCCCGACTGTGTAACATTTGTGAAAAGTCGATGGAAAGAAAGTGCCTTTGTTTATACTCGGTCTACATAATGCGGTAATACTTACAATTTTACTATCATGTTTTGTAGTGTATTTTAGTCCCAAGTATTCGCAGACAATGACATGTGTGTATAAATATTGATAAGATGCGACTTGCAGTCCTTTTACATCCTATGAAAGGGACAACACGATGTCTTTTGGTATTTATTATGTTTATTAATCACCATACCTGTGTAAAAAGAGATTTGAATTATATGGGTGCACCTTTTGTATAGATAAAAAGCTTTTCTATTAAAAAAGAAAACTAAAGATAGAAGAAAGAGTATCTTACATGCATTTTTTCAAATTGTAATAAAAATCAAATGATGATCGGTGAGAAGGGAAATAATGATCTCATGCTGTTATTCTTTTGATTGTGTTTCACCCTTTATTATTGTATATGAGATGAATGGTATGGTGAGAGTGGGGGGGGGGGGGTTATACAGTTGTGACATCTCCCAGAACAAACAAAAAATTACTAGAATTTTACTTACCCGTATTTATTTATTTTTTGGAGGGGAGGGGGGCAACAAAGTTATTGCAATTTGTCCTTTTCTTTGTGCAAACTGGTCGAAAAATCATGTGTGAGCCTCCCCCCCCCCCCCCCCCTCCCCCTCCCTATTCATATGTACAACTAATGCCCATGTACAGAGATATATGAGAGTTGACTGGTGTGAGAATGAGAGTGTGTACAGAAGTTTAAGATCAACATCTCCCTCAAATTTTTTTTTTTTTTTAAAGAAAGAAAATTCAGACTTCAGTTCATAAACTGGGAAATCCAATTATTTACAGTTAAAAATATCGTTTTGTTTAGTTTCCTTTTGGTAAAAGTACCTGGACCTGCCTGCCCAATATATTCTCAAACTGCGCCTATAAATGGAGGCTCATAATTGTTATCGCCATTTATATAAAGCTGAATAAGTTGATCTAGGAAAAGGAAAGGAGAAATCGAAAGTGAAACAGTTTAGTACATTTATTGTATAGAGTTCTCTCTTAATTCCTCTATCATTTTCACCTCTGAAACTTTTGCCTACGACATGCTCCTTGTTATAGCTAAGGCCATTAATCAACTTAACTTACATTGGTTGTTGCTTTGGCAAGCCTCTGTCAATCTCTTTAATTGTCAAGAAGTATGGATGAAAATAGTAAATGGGTCTAAATGATCTTAGAGTAGGGTTGAGTTAGTATTGGGTCGAAAGTTGGAATTTAGTTAGTATGGAAAATTGACCAAAGAGCAATATTTCTATATATATATATATATATAGACCCAAAATATATATATAGACCCAAAATTGAACCTCTCTCTCTGTCTGTACGTCTCTCTCTCCCTTTCTGTCTCTTTCTCTGTCTGTCTGTCTCTCTCTCTCTCTAAATATTCTGCAATGTTCCCTAGACTAGTAGTCTAGTCTACTCTCTAGTACACATATATATACTGCACATGTACAAACAATATTTTGCCCCTTTTCAGTTCAAAACATTGCTTTCTACTGTTACACAGTTATGTATACTTACTATATGGAGCAAAATTAGTTTCTGTAAGAGTTCTAATTCACATGTTGTAAATGAATCAAGGGCATTTATTCTACATGATATCAATTTCTATATCACAAGTATTAACACAATAATGCTGATGATACACGCTGATGGACCAATTTTTAACTTGAATTCAAGGTCCTACATTGTAATTCAAATTTTTAGACAAAGCATAAACAAAGTGGTCCTCAGATAACAATTAAGATTTGCTGACATCCTACCATCAGGACTGATTTATTTCAGATTGTTGGCAAGGACAAAACAACAACAATACAAACAATTATTATATACATCATATAGTAATATCTCCAAGAAAGGTATCGTTTTGATAATGTAGAACAACATAACATAACAATGATATCTTTTATACAATGAGATTCTTTTACAAATTTAATTTAGAATCTAGAACTTTGACATGAGTATTTGCAGGACAAAAGTCAGCATTTTTTACACAGGAAGGAAGATAGCAAAATATTTTGTTACAAATGCTTCTTAGATGGAGGAAATCTTTAAAAAAAATGGTGCTGAGTCTCGCTCTCTCTCTCTCTCTCTATATATATAATATATACTGTAGAGAGAGACTCAGCACCATTTTTTATATCACCCAATGTTCCTGAGAAAGATAAAGAATGTGATACAGAGGAAAGGAATTCATAGGATCCTCATATTAGTCATACTTTCATTCTTGATTCATACATCTCTTCATAAAACTTCATCACCTGATCAGTCAGCCTGATGACATCAGGGGTCACCTGATCTCGACTAGGCATGGGATTGGCTGGAGCAAATTCACTGCTCGTCAAAGCTCTGCCGTAGATGTACCTCAATTCGTCCACCAAGCCTTCAGCAGGGTGAACCCATTTCTTCACCATGTCCGCAGATGAGCTCCACTCCAGCATGGTTTTATTGTACGACAACCCTATCGCTTCACAGAACTTTGGAATCATTTCGGCAGGCTTCGCCAACAAATCATCTCCATCCATCACGATTGGGTCACCTTCAAAGTTTTCCTTCACGTATTTCCAAGTTTCGTGAATGCCCCGGAAATACAACCCAGCACTATCAAACATGACGTAATCTTTTTCGATGTCAAAGTTGTCCTCACTAATGGTTGGTTTGGACGAGTCTCCCTCAGAGGCAAACTTGGCGGTATTTGCAAATGCGATCTTGCGAAAGGAGTGAAAGACTCGGAGGGGGTGGCGAATCAGGAACACGTGTTTGTACCCTTGAGGGAGGTATTGGAGCCTTTCTTTGTTCATGGCTTGGGCCAGATCCTTCACAAATATGCAGGGGCTTGCAGCGCTTTCCAGGAGACGTTTGATGGATCCATACCTACAAGTTTAAAGCACATGAAAAAAATAATGCATTTTAATTTGTAAACCATTTTAAAATTTAAACATGAGGAGAATATGTACAGCATATGTGAAGTTACCCACACCGTAAAAAAGAAAAAGGGGGGGGGGGGTATAATAATTCACCTTTTCAGAAGCACAATTAAAGCTTATCTGCCGTAGTTTACAGGAGGGATTAGACTGCCCTGCAAGGTCACTGGACAGGTGGTTATCTCATCAACTCAGCTCTCAGTTAACATAAGAAAAAGAGGATCATGGGGGACTAATGGTCACCGATTAGGCATTGTTTGTTATATACATGTAGAGGGCGCAAGTAGCTACAAGTAGTGCAGTGGGCCTTTAAAACAAAAAAATATAGCATGAAACAAACAACATTGCATCAAATACAACCAAAAGAACATGAGACCCTAGCGTAGGTCTACAAAGGAATTAGAATGACGTTTTAACAAACTTTTTTCAATTTGCATGCGCATATTGAATTGCATGTGTTATGACTATGACTCGAGATTGGTAATCATTCATGCCTCATGAACATGGTACTTGGCAAATCTTTAAATTAAATTGGAATTCAATTGCATTTTTGGACTTACGCAAGGCGTTCTGGATGAACCTCGCACGAATACATATTCCCAACCACGGCTGCTGCTTGCTCGAATATCTTTTCATTTCCCTCATACTCGAGCGGTAACGGAATATTGTGCTTGGCTGAAGCGATGATTGAGATTGCCCTGCAGTACGAGAATGGCTCGAACCACACCGCACTGTCCCCCGGAACTCCGGCGGCGATGCATTTGGTCAAGGCGGTCGAGACAGACCGGGGCACTGACCACATGATAGTACGACATTTTGGTTCTTTTTCTTTCTCACTGTAACATTTTGCCTCCTTTGATGAATCCGAAGTTCGTGACATGATTGCTTTAATTCACTTTAGCCGTTTACTCCTTTAGAAACGGTTCTACATAGATCTAGCCGACTGAGCTGACTTTAGCTTTAGTCATCAAAATTGTCCAAAACAGTGCTAGAAGCATAGCTCAGGCCACGCCTACTTCTCGCTAGTCTGCGCTGCAGCAAGCGCAGACTTTATTCGCTACCGTAGCTGTTAATTTTGTTTGGTTTAAGATTTGTATTTTATTTTTAGGGTGGGGATCTAAAAGTGGCAATGGATTTTAAAGGTAGTGCCTGATCTTTCTTTCCCCCTCCCTCATCTCTCTCTCCTCTCCTCCTCATTCTCTCAGTCATTTTCTCTCAGTATCTTTAATTCGATCCCCAATCCTTTTTTTTAACACATTTGCCACACTTTCAGAGAATATAGGTGCTGTCAAAATCGGCAAGTTTTGCCATAAATTGACAATGAAAAGGTAGGGCCATAAATGTACTTTGAAGGTAATGAGATGGAAAGACACAAGATATCTATTATAAAGATAATACAAAGTTTTCGGAAATTTTGAAATTTTGCTGGATAGTGATTCTTTACAATTTGAACTATTTGGATACCCCTTTGGATGTATTATATGCAGGAGAAAATTTAGCCCCTAAAACACTTGAATATCAAAATTTACTGGTGCTCCCGGTAAATTTAGATATTTTCAAATAGCGCCTACGGCCATAGAATGGTAGCTGTGTCCCTGAAAATCTCAGAATATGTAGTTGTGATATATAATTTCCAAATGGAAATAGCCAATTGGTTGATTTTAGTCAAAAAACATTGTTTTATAGCTAAATTAATATCTTGACTTGATTTCAACCGCGACAACAACCACTGAATATTGTAGGATTGCATGTTTCCAAAATATTCATTTGAACCAAACTCATGGCCCCATACCAAAACTTAGTATAATGGCAGAAATTATGCTTATGGGCTGTGTCACTTGTTAATATGATCTTCGTGTAGGCAAAAGTGTAAGCAAAAAAACAAAAACATCACATCCGAACAAAACATGATTTATTACAAAGTTCCATTTTAATGGTACAAAAGCAGACAAATTAAACATTTATCTAATCCTGAGGTCTATTACCTCGACAAGGATAAAGAACGTTAAGGGCTCTTTCAGATACCACACTGTTTTTATGTGTAAATGAATAGCAATGGCAGGTTTTGCATGTATTCACTGAGCTCTGTGTTATAAGATACTGAAATATGATGCGTATTAGACTTTATGTCATCATAAAACAACCGCTCCAGTGTCATAACTGAACGGGGCCCTTAATTCACAACACAGAGGCAAAGCATTCAATATGAAATTATCTCAATTGATAAAGTGGAATACCGTAACACAAAACACAAAATGCATTAAAGATAAAGACCAGTTATGGTCATGCGATCGCATTGTGAAAGAAACGTTGTGGAATCGATCAGAAAAGGTTGATCATCTAGCATGTAAGTATTGAAGTGTACTGCAAGGTTCTGGAATCATCAAAATGATAAGAAATTTGGCCCAGTCTTGGTAAAGTTACAAGCACTGTACACAGAAAGATGTATATGGGACTACGCGACACGTGCGTTATATCTATCAGGCCCAAATAGATATTATAATTTACCAAATATATCAATTAGTAGGTGGTTTCTCAGCAAAATTTGTATGATCACGTATTAGTCAAAACATATTCTTTCACATGATTGGTAATAAGAGCTTCCATTTCATTTTTTGAGAGGGGGGCATTTCCAAAACTTGTCTTTACCTTTAAAGCATGGCTGAGGGTATGGCAATTGAGGTCAGGTTCTTACACAGGAAAAAATGCGCTAAGAATAAAACGGCTACTGGACAGGGATATGCTTCACATAAACTTTTCAACACGGTAAAATGGTACTTGTACAATTTTAAATTATTTCATAGAAAATACATTTAAAAATACATGTTCATTGTATAACCATATCACACTTTTATTCAACAGGCTAATAATGAACCCCCATACTAGCTTGTGAAAATCAAACCATGATACGTAATTAATAGGAAACAAATTGATCCCATTTTCATCACGAAAACAAAAAGTGCGTCAACTTCACAGTGCCGACTTTTCATGTCCATGATAGATATCATCACAGTCAATACGTATTGAAGCTGCATAACTTTTTGTGCACCATCTCCATTTCCTGCTAGACAACCCCTCTAACCCTAAAACATAACATTCCTACATCAAATCTGGGATAATATTAAGCAAATATGTAAATCACATTCAGTGTACATATCTGTAATTTAAATGTTTTGAATCACTACTGCCACAACACCGATTTACCAACTCTAGACAATATATCATTTCATAGGTAAAGATTTGCATGTGGGATAATTAGATACCGGCTTTTACAGATTGAGATGCCTTGCACCTGTTAGGCTCAATCTAGTCTAAAACTGCCCTGTATGAAGTACAGTATCTCTGTGGCAGTTGGATTTACATTCCAAATCAAGGATTCATTCCTTTCTCTAATTTGTATCAGACACCCTCAAATCTCTCAATTAGAATAAAAATTAATTTCTTTCTCTAATTTGTATCAAACACCCTCTAATCTCTAAATCCATCCACAAAATAAACTGATGTCTGGGTAACATTATCGTTCCTTCACTTGCAAACATACCAACTGCGTTATCATTCTGAATCATCGAGTCGTGAACAGGAAAGACAGCCAAAAAGAACAACAACAGTATCACTAATTTAGATGAAATACTGTATAAGCCATTATTTCACAGAGAGATATTATCATGGATATGACTGAGGTACAAATATTTGTTGTGAGTTGTCATCTGAGTGATAATTAAAACAGGCAGGATTTGTACTTAGGATACATGTTCGCACATCTATCGTCAGCTTTTTGTGCACGTGCTGTTAAACTTATGTCCCCCAAAAATTCACAATTTCGCAAATACAAAAACCATCAAGAAAATAATGGCTTAAACAGTACTACTGTTCGTCATACAGTCAAACCTGTCTAAAGTGACCGCCCAAGGAAAACACAAAAAGTGGTCTTTGTAGACAGGTTCCTATATTACATGTTTCAAGGGAAACACAAAATGTGGTCTTTGTAGACAGGTGGTCACTAAGGCAGGTTGGACTGTACCTGCATCCGAACATATATTCATAAACATAAACCAACATGTAAAACTCTTTTTTGGCATGTAGTACCATCAGCTTGAAAACATCTTGGCATAACCTTCCTTTTCCTTCTTTTTCCTCTCCTGGATGACAGCCTTTGCCTTCTTCAGCTCAGTCTTTGCAGCTGCAAAACAAAAATACATCAACATTACTTTTCACCTCTTATTCACTTGTTACAAAATATATAGTTCTTCCACCAACATCCTACTGATCAAATTAATTTCTAGGAATTTGAACATTACTTTTCACCTGTTGGTCACTTGTTACAAAATATATAGTTCTTCCACCAACATCCTACTGATCAACTTAATTTCTAGGAATCTGAACATTACTTTTCACCTGTTAGTCACTTGTTACAAAATATATAGTTCTTCCACCAACATCCTACTGATCAACTTAATTTCTAGGAATCTGAACATTACTTTTTACCTGTTAGTCACTTGTTTCAAAATATATAGTTCTTCCACCAACATCCTACTGATCAACTTTATTTCTAGGAATCTGAACATTACTTTTTACCTGTTAGTCACTTGTTACAAAATATATAGTTCTTCCACCAACATCCTACTGATCAACTTAATTTCTAGGAATCTGAACATTACTTTTTACCTGTTAGTCACTTGTTTCAAAATATATAGTTCTTCCACCAACATCCTACTGATCAACTTAATTTCTAGGAATCTGAACATTACTTTTTACCTGTTAGTCACTTGTTTCAAAATATATAGTTCTTCCACCAACATCCTACTGATCAACTTAATTTCTAGGAATCTGAACATTACTTTTCACCTGTTAGTCACTTGTTACAAAATATAAAGTTCTTCCACCAACATCCTACTGATCAACTTATTTCTAGGAATCTGATCACGGCTCTCGATACCTGTTCTTGCAAAGTATCTACATATGCTATAATATCTTCAACAATGAAAGACGGAGTGCCCGGATAAACTTAGAAGTTAGAATGACAGTGGGTTACAAGACATAGATATACACGCCTGTAAATGAATCAGAAGAGCGATTGTGAACTTTTGTTAGTAAGCATGTAAAAGGCACATGAAACATCATTAAAATTGATTCTAAGCAGCAAAACAGAGACTTCTCCTCTTTTATTAAATGTCCCGGTAAATAGCAACAACAGTGTATATATCCTCTTACGCCATCATTGATTTTGTTGTTGTTTACTTTCCTTTCTATTATTTTCCCTTGCAGAATTGTTAAAGCCTTGCTGCACCAGTTTGGCCAGGGGGATTAGACCACCCTGCAAGGTAACTGACAGGTGGTTATTTCATGAAATCAGCTCTTAATTGACATAAGGAAAAGGGGACCATGGGGGATCAACGGTCACCGCTTAGGTATTGTTGGCTATATAGAGGGCGCAATTAGCTATAAGTAGTGCAGTCCCGCTTTAAAAGTAAAATGTGCACACCTTTATTTTCTGGCTCTTTTGATAGTGCTGTTTGGAAGTCCTCTGCAGCTCCTTCGTAATTCTTCATGTTCATTTGAGCTTTTCCTCTCCTAAACCAGCCCTTGGCGTTGTCTCCATCGATGGATAGAGCCTGAAACAAGAGAGAAACGATATGCATGTACTTCGATAAGATGGCTTAAAGGCAGCGTTTAACAATGTTAAATCTGAGATGCATGGCCCTACGAGTTACCAGGGTCTGTGATATGGTGTAATATTAAAGCCCTTAAAGAATTGTGCTTCAAAATGATCATGAAGTGCCTCAAAAGAGTAAAAATCTTTGAGTGACCGGTTTTACCATACTCATTTTCCCCAATAGACTGTAGTGTTATGAAAACCATTAAAACAAAAAACGAAATTTTGATTTCCGATCACGAATATCTTGATAATCAGACAGGCGATCGGCTTGTTAAAGTCATGGGATTCCTTACTGACCTAAATGTTTATAATAATGATTGCAGCATGAGCTAAATCCAGTATTTTGTTTCAGAACATTTGAGGTAATGTTATCGAATCACTTTAAAGTGACTCGGTAACATATTTTATTGCCTCAGATTCTGAAACAAAATCCATTAAGGCTGCGACAGGTAGTCGAATGCTCGAGTACCCGCACGGTTGACAACTACTCGGGTATGATTTCTCGTACCCAAATATTCGGCCAAAAAAAAAATCTGTCCAGGCCGACACTTACCCGTGCCAGGGAGAGAGGCGGCCGCTGGCATGGTACCGTCGGTAAAAATGTTCCAAAACTCAAGCACAATCAAACTCACCACTCAGAAACTGGAACCAAATGTCCAGATTTTTGTTTGGACTTGGAGGAAAATGGATTATTCTGCCATCTTTGGTTTTTAAAACAGCATTGTTTACTGTTATTATTATCATTAAATCAGCGCCTTCAACTGCAACTCGAAGTAAAATTGCATGCTTTTTTCGGCGACAGACCTGGGATACTGATCCATTGGTATGGTGATGGCAACAACAACAACAACAAAACAAAAAACAAAATTCAAAAATTCAAAAAATTCAAAAAAATTCAAAAAAATTATAAAAAAACATGGCGTCCGAATATTCGAGTATTCGCTTGTAAGCCTGGGAGTGTACTCGGGTACCTCATTACACTGTTGTGCACAGCCTTAAAATCCATTTTGAAGCGCAATTTGTTTAGGGCTTTCAGAATCTGAGGCAATGTTACCGAGTCATTTTAAAGCCTACCTTATCACACTGCTCAATAGCATCGTGGTTAAGGTCCAGTTCCAGCTTGCAGGCGGCCATGTTTAGCCTCAGCGGGAGATAGCTATTAAGAACCTTGGTCTTCTCCTCTGGGACATCCTTCAGCTTGCCTTCAAGATCTAGAGAGTCAAGGTACCTATGATAAAAAGAGCAAAAGATGTTGGTATTCAAATGACTATTCACTGATTGTGTACTGTTTTTAGTGTAGGATAATTTGGTGCACTAGAGAGTCAAGGTACCTATGAAGAAAAGAGCAACAGATGTTGATATTCAAATGACTATTCACTGATTGTGTACTGCATTTAATGTAGGATGATTTGGTGCACTAGAGAGTCAAGGTACCTATGAAGAAAAGAGCAAAAGATGTTGATATTCAAATGACTATTCACCGATTGTGTACTGTATTTAATGTAGGATGATTTGGTGCACTAGAGAGCCGAGGTACCTATGAGGAAAAGAGCAAAAGATGTTAAAGGGAAAGTCCACCCTGAAATTAAGTTAGTTTTAATAGGAGTAGAAAAATGAGAGAAACAAGTCAGTGAAAGTTTGAGCAAATTCCGATTAAAAATAAGGAAGTTAGGATTTTTGAAGTTGTGATCAATCAAACACAAATTGGCAACTCTATGACGTATCATGCGAGCTCAACTTCCATCTGCTCAGTACTAAAAAAATCTAAAATTTTCATTTTCCCTCAAGAAAAATTTCAACCGTACATGCACCCTAAATATAATAATTGAAAATATGTTTCTATACTCCTCCTGCAAGGAACAAATATATATTCCATCATCAATAACGAAGAAAACATGATTTTATGGAATATTATGCACAAAGCAAATGAAGGAGAGCTCGTATAATAAGTCACAGAGTTGCCAATTTGTATTTGATTGATCACAACTTCAATAATTCATAACTTTCTTATTTTCATTCAGAATTTGCTCAAACTTTCACTCACCTGATTTTCTTATTATTCTGCCTCTATCGAAACAAACTTATTTTGGGGGTGGACTTTCCCTTTAATATTCAAATGACTATTGACCGATTGTGTACTTTATTTAATGTAGGATAATTTGGGCACTAGAGAGTCAAGGTACCTATGATGAAAAGAGCTATAGATGTTGATATTCAAATGACTATTCACCGATTGTGTATTGTATATAATGTAGGATAATTTGGGGTACTTTGCAAGAAAGCATTTGTCTAAAGAGCCGTCGCTGTGCAGGGGAGGAGGTGCTGTAATGCACGTGTAAAATAAGCCACACAATTTTGTCTGTCTTCTTTCTTACGCTTCTCATATATCTTCTGTACCATATTTTTGACAACTGGACTATTTGCGACCTTGTCAATAGAATTTTCTATCCACAAAATGGATGGAAACCGATATTCATACTTTCAAAGACTTTCAATACACATTGTTAAAGGGCAATCCAACCCTTGTAATAAGCTGATTTGTATGAAACCAGAAAAATAACAGAAACAGAATGGCAAAAGTTTGAAAATGAATTGGACCAATAGTAAGTTTGAAATTATGAGATCACTAAATCTATGCGAATCTCAAATTGGTAGTGCGGTCAGTGGATTGTGACGTAGGACGTGGATAACTCTCCCATTTGCTGTGTACGAAAATATCATTAATTTCTGTTTTGCTCGAAATTACCTTCTCCCTTGGGGCACTACTAAAATATATTATAGATAGCATACTATCATAGGTCCTGTTAAAAGAATAGACCCTCAGGAGCAAAGATTTTTTTAAATTTTTGTTTTGATTTAGAACAAAAGAAAAGATAACCGTCAAGGCACATGACTGTAGGGTCACATTCAGACAAAACACAATTTCCCTCTCTGCCTTATAAACTTACCGGATAGCTTTCTCGTATTTACTGATGGCAAACCCATAGTCTTTGGCCTTGTATTTGCCATTTCCGATGTCTTTAAGCTTCATGGCGACCTCCAAGACCTTCACATACTGCAAGAAATAAGAAAAGTGTAACAATTAATTTATGCATGCTTGACCCTCGACCTTCTATGGACCCCGATATGCTCTCTTGTTACGAATGCTAGTAATTGTTTCAAAATGGTCTAATGAAAAACACAAATACAGCTGTTGCTACAAATAATCAATGGTGGAAGTTTAAGCATATTTCTATTAATGATACAAAAGAAAAACTTAATATTTATGCAACCAGCAATTTGGATCATGTTCATAATATCACATGTGTTAACAAACCCCATACCCATACAAAATTTGAATATTCTTGGGCACGCCTGCAGCATTCTGGCATGGAAAACTATCAAAGCACTAGATGAAAAGTCCTATTATTAATTGAAATCCAAGATTTAATAGTGTACAGTTTTAGCTGTTAGAACATTTTAGGATTTTCTTAACAATTTTGCCAGAAATTTCTAGTTTATGGGGTAACCACGTACCAATTAAAATAATTGTTTAAATTAGGGAAAAGATAGTTAGAAGCGTGATATTGCTAGGGCTAAAAAGGTCTCCCCTCTAAAACAAACAATACCATACAGAGGCGCGATGGCTCAGTGGTAGGGTAGAGCGATTGTCTCGTAATCGGGAGGACCCAGGTTTGACAGTGTCGACAGCGCTATAGTGCCCATTGGTAAAGCAGTAATCCTCATAACCGAGTCCCTCGGAGAAGACTTTAAGCTGTCGGTCCCCTAGTTGTTTACTTACAAGCATTCACATGCTTTATTAGTAGTCAGGTTTAAAAAAACTTTAAAAACCCACAAATACTTACATCTGTGATATCAAAGTCTGCATCTTCAGGATAGTCAGTGAAGGCATCTCCGGTACCATCATCCCTAATGGCCATACCATCATCATCACCAGGCATGAGTTCACCACAGTCAGTTATCTCAACCCTCTGGACAAGAAAAAAAGGAGATAACAGATGTTGTGTGCAATTTCTCAACGCACTGACAAAAGGATTGCATGTTTATATTATTAATCTTTTTACTATGCTAGTAATATTATGTTGCTTTTGGAGAGCGGCGAGGAAACGGGGGGATAGAAAGACATGGAGACAAGACATCTGTCACAATCCAATTATCAAATTGTCCACTAATAATATCCAATAATTGTCATTATTATCACTATGCTTATCAAAATAATCATTATTGAGTGATTGTCTTCATCCTCACAATCAGCCCCCCTTTGTCTACAAATGATCATATCATCCTTTATGTCAATATCATTATTACCATTTACCACCCCTAAACACCACTATCATCATCATCACCACCATCATCATCATCTTCATCAAATATCATCATCATCATCACCATAGTCATCATCATCATCATCATCACCATCACCAACACCATCATCAACTATCACCATCCCCACCACCATCACCACCGTCATCATCATCACCACCACCACCATTATCAACATCATCATCACCATCATCACCATCACCATCATCACCATCACCATCACCACCATCACCACCAGCACCATCATTATCATCATCATCATCATCATCATCATCATCATCAACACCACCACCATCATCATCGTCGTCATGCCACAAATCTTACCCTGATGGGTATATCATTCTCTAATGTGGTGAGGTCCTCGATCGCCCTGAGCAGTCCGATCCCCTTGAGGATTCGACCAAAGACCACATGTTTGTTGTCCAGGTGTGGCGTCTCCGTGGTGGTTATGAAGAATTGAGAGCCGTTGGTGTCTTTGCCAGAGTTCGCCATGCTCAGAAGTCCTGGTTTGGTGTGCTGAAGAAAATAAAAGCAACACATATATTACTGGATAAAGTTGCGTTCTGATGAAGGTGAAAAGAACATTTAATTTGTGACCTTTTTCATTCTGTTCATTTCCATGTGGAAGATCATACCAATGTCATATGAAAAAGACTTCTCATGAAATACCCTCATATTTAGGATGTAACTATAGAAATGGTTAAAATACTTCCGACCAAATTCTGATGCCATAAGTATGTAGTCCAATATCTGTGTGATTTGTTAGCAAGATCAAGCCAATCTGTTATTATTTTAGTGAGTCCAAAATCCCAAAGGCACAGTTGCGCTTACATGTACTACTTAATCTTATCTTCGAAATAGTTTGTTTTCGCAATACTTAATGCTGAATTTTCTTTTCCTTAATTTTCAAAGTTTAAAGGGATCCCATCAAATCTAAGGCTTGCGGACCCCTCAAGAGACAGACTGGCATGAATTCCATGTCAAAGAGGAAAGTTGCAGAGATATATTTCCAACACTATCCAATATCTATTCAAACAACATCTCTTAGTTTTTCTTGGCTTATTGCTCTATAGCCTCAACCTCAACTTGAATTTTGTTCATATCATAACATGAACACCTCATGGAGAACGGTAAAAACCATGCATTTCAAAATGTAGAATAGCATGAGGACTGATGGGCTTACTTTGTGAATGAAATTTTCATCTGCAAATTTTTCTCCATAGATGCTTTCTCCTCCTGTACCGTCCGAGTTGGTGAAGTCACCACCTTGGATCATGAAGTTCTTGATCACTGTTTAGTAAGCAGATTATTTAAAAAGAGATTTAAAGCCTATCTACACTAGTTTGGCCAAGAGGGATTGGACCTCCCTGCATAGTCACTGGCAGGTGGTTATCTCATCAAATCAGCTCTCAACATAATAAAAAGGAGACCATGGGGATCAACAGTTAGCTTAGGCTTTGTTGGCTATATAGAGTATGCAAGTAACTACAAGTAGTGCAGTCCTGCTTAAAGGTATATTTTGCAGAATAGACTATCCCCATGATTAAACTGGCCTACTTATTGACATAATAATTGAGTTCTTGCATAGTGCTATTGTTCGCCTATCAATGCATTGAAGCTATTATGGTCATCGTTAGTCCAGTTTTTGCAGAGGTATGTGAAAATTGATTTGTCCTGCCTGCTACATGTGTCATGGAACTTTAATGTATTAAAGCTTACATCTAAAAGTATTCAATAAAGGCCCTAATTCAACCAATCCAACATTCATTATTGAGTTATGGGAAGAAAAAACAATTTACAAGGGGTATGAATAATTCAGTTGTTAAATGTACAATCTACCATGACAGGTCCATTTCTAGTTTACAATATCAGGGCCCAAATTCATGGTTGCGAAGAACCCATGTACCCCTCCCCCAAACCTACATCTGGTAACCTTTTAAAAAAAGATAGCCTTTGTGGCTTCCCAAGGGCAACTTAAATTTCTCAGAATATAGATTATCATTATTCTTTCAAGAGAATTTTGCCAATTCTTTGGTAACCGACATCCAGAGAAATGACTTTCGCATCCTACGAGATTGCTTGTGCAGTCTGAATGGCAATCCACAAATTTATTAAGTGAGAGCCCCAAATGTACAAAAAGATTGTTCAAATGACACAGTCAGCTTACCACGGTGGAAAATGCAGCCTTTGTAGTGGAGAGGCTTTCCCATCGTTCCCATTCCTTTCTCTCCGGTACATAGTGCCCTGAAGTTTTCGGCCGTCTTTGGGACATCCTTGGCGTACAACTCGAACAAGATTCTGCCAGCTACAAGTGAAATGGTTAAAAAGAGAAACGAAGAGGGGCATTTGTTATCTTCAATTTTCCTGCATGTACATGTCATTAAAACTACTCTCAGAAATCAGCTATAACTGTAAGTTTTCACTAATTACAAAATAATGAGGGCTAGGTCCAAAACCTAATCTACATATGCAATCTTTGTGGTTATTTTGTCATCCTGTGCTGATTGTATTACTGCACTGGAAATTTTTCTGGACAAAAATTGGATGAATAAAAAACTAGATGGAACTTCGACTGCGCGCAGTCGAAAATGATGCCTCCGTCATGGAGCAATTTTACAAACCAAAACAGAAGAAATTTTTCAAATCAATATATGACCCTTTGATCTTTGACCTCATGACCCTAAAATCTACTCAGTTCATTGGCTCTGCAAGATGTCCTGAGTTAAATAGTAATCCATCTGTCAGTTCTAATGAGAATGCGTTCACAAGCTATTTTTGCATACATAATGAGCCCATGACCTTTGACCTCATGACCCAAGAATCTACTCAGTTCATTGGCTCTGCAAGATACATACATGATCTAAGTTTGGCAGGAGTCCATCAATCTGTTCTAATGATAATGCGATCGCAAGCTATTTTTGCATACATAATGAGCCGCATGACCTTTGACCTTGACCTCATGACCCCAAAATCTAATCAGTTCATCGACTCTGCAAGTAACATACATGACCTAAGTTTGGCAGGAATCCATCAATCGGTTTTTGAGATAACGCGATCACAAGCTGTTTTTGCATACATAATGAGCCCTGTGACCTTTGACCTTTCATCTCGTGACCCCAAGATCTAATCAGTTCATCCGCTCTGCAAGATACATACATGACCAAAGTTTGGCAGGAATCCATCAATCGGTTCTTGAGATAACGCGATCACGAGCTGTTTTTGCATACATAATGAGCCCTGTGACCTTTGACCTTTGACCTCGTGACCCCAAAATCTATTCAGTTCATCGGCTCTGCAAGATACATACATGACTAAAGTTTGGCAGGAATCCATCAATTGGTTCTTCAGATAACGCGATCACGAGAACGGGACGTACGGACGGACGGACGTACGGACGTACGGACGTACGGACGGACGGACGGACAACCCGAAAACATAATGCCTCCGGCTACTTCGTAACGGAGGCATAAAAATTCCTAGGTCTAGAACTACTCCTACATCATTTTTGGGGGGGGGGGGGGGCTGTAGGCCCTATATTTTGATAGAAACAACGGTGAGTTTTGAAATTTGAAATGTGTTCATCCGAATAGTTGATTTTTTCAATTATCCAACCATAATGGTGAAGAAAAAAAACGACCCAAAAGGGAAAATTGAAAAATCGTTCAGACACCTTAATTTTTTTTGGTATGAATATCTGGTCAGTTTTACTTGTTTCTTTGGTTGTACAGTTGTACAGCACTTAAAAAGAAATTTCTTCAAATTTGCTCCAGATGTGGTTCAGTGTTTTTACTTTTTAAGTCAATTTTGTAAATATTATTTTGTATGAATTTGCCTGACGAAGTCAAACTTAAAATTGAATACCGGCACAGGTCCAGCCTTCCAGGACAATATAAAAATTTGAATCCGGGCTATCAGGGGTGATAGTGAGCACTAAAAAAAAAATAGGTTTTTTGTTTTCCCCTTAACCACGCCCCCCTTGAGTAAAAAAAAGAAGAAGAGGATTCGCGGGGAAAAAATGGCATCTAACAACATTCCCCCCTTTCGAGTAAGAAAATTGGGGGCAAAATAGGGAAGAATAGAGAAAATAAGGGGGGAATCGGGAAAATCAGGATAAAATAGGGAGGAAAAAAAATCTGGTAAAAAAAAAAAAAAAAAAAAAAAAAAAAAAATCTGGAAAAATATAAAAAATTGGGAAACCCAATTTAAATCGGGTTTTTATCAGGCCTGGCTATTAACTCAGGCCAAAAACAACTCAGCCCAGCTGCAAAAACGGTCAGTTTTTGTCATTTTACCCTAACCCTAAACCTGCAAAAACGGACCGTTTTTGCAGCTGGGCCGAGTTGTCTGTGATCCGAGTTAGCCCGGCCCGACTCCAACAAATTAATGATCACACGTACACTTCACTTCTCACATGACAATCTCAGACTCGAATCACTTAAATCAATTCAATAAATATCTAAAATATTTTATTGAAAGTTATCTAGGGTCACCAAAAGCCATCAAATAATGTCATTACATATACAGAGGCTCCAAATAACATTACATTGGACGTGTTTACTGAACTGTTTTACAGAATTACAGGAATTACAATTAGCCTAGCCTAGACCTACACAGATCTCAAGGAATGGGACCACACTGACACATGTGCACAGCAGTGCCAGTAGAGAAAAGAATGTTCTCGAACTCATATATGATTGCCTTTCGTAATCATAAAAAAAAACGTTTTCATTGCATACCTGGCTCTCCTTTGATGCTAATGTCAAAATATGTTTTCGGATTAGCTGGTGATGTTTCGTCTACTGCCATGATTCTGGATATCAGATTAGCCTACGAGAAGTCAAGTTCAAAGAAAGAAGGATGAAGAGCTGTACTGTATGCGCATGCGCGTGAGCAGCAGAAGAAGAGGAGAAATGAGAATTATATAGCATCAATTTATTTGTCTTCCAGAAAACACATGCGACAAAATATAATAGAGTATAATCATAACAGTACAATGTAGTATAAAGACAGACGAGGAGACCTTAGTTGAAGCACAGCTTGTTTTAAAGTTAAGGCCCCCTCATATATGTGACAAAGATTCATGACTCACAAAATTAATATGGAATATATAAAACCATTTACAAAATACTCTCAGAAAACAACTACCCAACGATGCATCAACCCAGGCGCGTGAACAGGGGGGGGGGGGGGGTGGTTTGGGGGATTAAATTCCCCCCTTTGGTATTTTTCTGTGTGTAAACCCCCCATAAACCCTCCCCCTAACCCCCCCCCCCCCCTTTGGATTAAAAAAAAAAAAAAAAAAAAAAAATATTCCTATGGCTCACCTAAAAAAGCTGACCTTACCCCCCCCCCCCCAACGGAGCAAAATGTCAAATTTTCAAATTTCGAAACCCCCCCCCCAAAAAAAAAAGTGTCCTCTTACCCCCCCCCCCCCCAAAAAGTGTCCTTTTACCCCCCCCCCCCCAAAAAAAAAAGTGTCCTCTTACCCCCCCCCCCCCCCCAAAAAAAGTGTCCTCTTACCCCCCCCCCCCCCCCCCCCCCCGCTTATTCAGCGGCTGGCTGAGTCGTTGCGAAATTTTCGGTCCGATTTATAAATGTTAAACCCCCCCCCCCCCCCCCCTTGAAAAAATCCTGCGTACGCGCCTGCATCAACCACATCACGAAGAGAAAGAAGAAGAAGAAGAAGAAAAAGAAGAAAAGAAGAAGAAGAAGAAGAAGAAGAAGAAGAAGAAGAAGAAGAAGAAGAAGTGAAGAAGAAGAAGAAGAAGCCAAAGAAGAAGAAAAAAGAAGAAGAAAAACTAGAAGAAGAAAAAAGATGAAGAAGCCGAGACGAAGAAGAAAAAAGAAGAACAAAAAGAACAAAAAAGAAGAAGAAAAACTAGAAGAAGAAAAAGAAGAAGAAGTTAGCTAGAGGAAGAAGAAGAAGACGAAGAAGAAAATAAGTTCCTTCTCCCTATATAAAGGGACACTTCTCTAAACAAATTATGGATAGGCCTATAATTATAGCATATCGTATCACAGGTCCTAGAGGAAAACAAAACCACCTGATCGAATCATACATTTTGGACAAATTGAAAAATTGAGTCACTTTATACGTTTGTGGAACGGATGGGAACGTTGTCCGCCACTACATCATGGATCGAGACATCATACTGATTTAGCCAATTTGAAGAGCCCTTATACCTTCAGACTTACAACTTTCACAAATTCATAATTTTGACAATTTTGTCCGATTTCATTCAAACTTTCACTAGTCTACCTCCTTATTTTGTTTCTAGACCAGTATACCTACTTGTTGTCCTTTTATTCTTCTTCGAACAGTTAAAAGGTTTAGAAAATTATTTTTACACCAGCATGTTACAAAATGTTACTCGAAAATAATATAAACATTTGGGAGGTATAGGCCTGCCTACACCCACCGGAAACATGGACGATTTTACTCTCTCCGTTTCTGAATAGGCAATTATTTGCCATTATCACCATTAGCCAGGCCTTCTTATGACGCCCTATTCTTTTCCGAAGTCCCAACCCCAATGATGGTAAAATTACACATTTCTGTTATGACTCTGGTAAAATTGTAGCAAATTGGGCAGCTATAGCTGCCCCCTCCGCAATTATTTCATCTTTGAAATTCGTGTTGAAGTATTATTACTATTGTTACTTTTTTTATTTTCAAACTTCATATATGTTCCCCCTGTCATTATTAAAAAGAAAGAGAAAAGTTCAAGACTTGTTAATTCGATTAATATGAAGAACTTCAAGAAAGAAGCTGATAAAAAATTCCTTTAAACAATTTTTTTTTTTATTAGGTACATGTTAGTTTTTTAAATCCGAATAGACTCCGAGAAGTTTCCTACCGGAGTACAATTACAAGAAGCATTTAGAAGTCAAAGATCACACTCCTTGCATCAGTGCGTAAGGGGGGGGGCAATTAATGATTACGCCCGCCCCCCCCCCCCCCCCTTTAGCGCCCAACCGAATCTAAAACAGAAAAAATGTAATCGGGTGCACGGTGCACCCTTTTCCATACATTGGAGAACCTTCTAGTTTGCTTGTCATGGTTCTCGTGGATTCCACCAAACTCCAGAGGGATTCATTCTATATTTAGATCATGACGTTCAAAGGGTATCCCCGCTCACGTGACAAATAATTAGCATACAAGCAACAACATCGACTGTCGTGACGTGACGTCAGCACAATCATATAGAAGAGCTGCTACGACTTTACGAGTCAGTCAATCTGCGAAAATAACTGAAAATATTCAACGTTATCCTTGTGAACAGTAAAGATGGAATTTCCTGATCTTGGACAGAACTGCCATGAATCTACATGCAGTCAACTAGGTGAGTTTTTGTTTGAAAAATCAGCCTTCATATGTGAGAATGAGATAGAAATAGAAAAGTCATTAACTTCCTGATGTCATACTCTCATTTTTTGTTAGTATGTGGGACTACACTTAAAAATACTCTGACCACTGCACCGCGCCGTTGCGTTGCCATTGGATTTGGAGTCAATGAAAAAGGGCATAATTTTGGGGTTAGATGGACAAGGAAATTTATGTTTTAAAAGATCTAGAATATATGTGTGTAACCCTAGATATTTATCTGGGAATGCAAAAGAATTATTTATATTCTTGTGATGTGACAAATAGATCTAGACTAGACTCTAGATCTAACAGTTAGACTAGTCTAGACCTAAAAAATCAAATAATTTTTCAAATCACCCAAAATCTGAAAATGTTTTTGTATCAGCTATCATCATGATCATATTAATTAAGGCTGAGTCTTACGGTTTTTGTGCTAAACGTTTAACTGTTAAATGTATACGGGCGGTTTCGTTTAACCGTTTTGAAAATACACTTATTTTTACATGTGTGTAAATTCTCAAGTATTCAGTCATTTTGATGAAGACATAATGTTTTCTATTCAGATCTCTGTTTTGGCAATGAAGTCTCAAAAACAAAAACAATACACATGTAACAAACTGCACAAAAATAACGGTTGAACAGAGCGGGAAATGCTAAACAGTTTTGATGTATACGGTCGTTTAACCATCGGTTAAACATTTTGACTCGGGCTTAATGGCTCCTTTCGAAAAGCTTCTGCTGAACTTTGGAACAGATTACCGTTAAATGTAAAAAGCTGTCAAACCGTTAACCTATTCAAAACTAGTCTCAAGACACATTTATTCAAAATTGCGTTCAATGATTAATTAACTCTGTTCACTTTGACGTGTATTCCATATGTATTGTAATTTGTATGTTTTTGCATTTTTAGTTTTGTATAAGATGTAATTGTATATCAGTCTATTTTGTGTGTATAGCGCTTAGAGTTTTCATTGGTAAGCGCTTTATAAGTAACGTCTTTATTATTATTATATTATTATTAATATTCATGCATTTCAATTGTTTTTTTTCCACAAGAATATGGGTCAATATGACTGTGTTATACATATGTGCATGTAGATCTAGACTGAGACCAAAAAGTCAACCATTTGAAAATCTTTTTCTTATTTTCTTTACAGATTTTCTCCCAATGAGATGTGATTCCTGTTCGAATGTTTTCTGGTAAGTTGTCGACATGATACATTTTCTGATGGTGAATTTCTATGCAAAACAGATTTTTATCCTTTTGAATTTAAGTCAATGTTAGAAATCCACCATAAAAAGAAAACAAAATCCTACATGTACATGTAATTTGAAGCAACCAGTAAATATTTGTGCTAAATTTATCTCACTTCAACAATGAAAATATGATATGATTTGTTTTATAATAATTAATTATAAAGAGGAGGGGGGGGGGATTTAGTTTTTTCTAAAGAGTAAGCAGGCTTTCAATGAAATGGAATGGATCTTAATTATATCAAAATGGTCTGAGGAAAGCATTGGGTTTGGTTTTTAAAGTTACAATGCAAATTAATGAAGAAAATTGTGAAGTACGATTTCACCAACACACACTGGAATGTATACACTGTATCATGGAAAACTTGTTCTTCATCAGGAGAGCAATATGGTTAACATAATGACAAGTTCTCTGTGCATTACCTAATGTTACAATTTTAATGCATTCTATGTGTCTTATCTTTCATTTTTAGCAAGGATCACATTACATATGAACAGCATAAGTGTGCGGCAGGCTTTAGGAAGGTAAGACACCAATCACACAAACTTTCATTCTCATTTGATATTTGTTTGACATCATTGAAGTGATACCATCTTTAGATAAACACCACCAGGGGAGTGTTTCACAAAGATCCTAAGTAGAACTTAACACTAAGTTGGACTTAAAAAGTATGGACAGCCATTGGAGCCTTAAAATGAAATATATTCAAAAGCAAAAATTGGAGTATTTTAGACTTTTCATCAATTCCACATCAAGAACATGAAATCTCCCATGATAATAGAAAATATGAATGATCTGAATCAACATTTTATGCCTTCTAAAAAAAAATTACAAAATGTTTTCAAGGATGCTAATGGCTTCCCATAAATTTTAAGTCCAACTTAGAGATAAGTTCAACTTAGGATCTTTGTGAAACACCCCCCAGACATTTTAATAATGAGCTTGTTTGAAGCCCAAAGGCCATTAACTCTTATCATTCTACACATCCTTTACCCCCGTCTGGTTCCAACCAAACAAATATTGACAATAACATTCAATTTATAGAGAGCATACAAATTAAGGATTTATTTTCTATGCACTTAATAATACAATTTTAGTGCTTTATGCTCCATAACACAATATTTGTATGCATTTACAATTTAGAAGTATATAAGATGAAATAGTATATTTTCAAGAAAAATGTTATCATTTAATTAAATGCAATCAACATCTAGATAATTTAACCTACAACTTCAGTTCAATGTGTTTTATTTCTTGTTTTGATAATCTGAAGGATGTTCAAGTACCTGTGTGTCCGTAATGTAACAAGCCTGTACCAGCCTATTTTCAAGAAAACTTTAATCATTTAATGCAATCGACATCTACATACATGTATTATGTATGACTTCAGTTCAGTGACTTTCTTTTCAGTCTTGTTTTAATACTCTGAAGGATGTTCAATTACCGGTGTGCACATAATGTAACAAGCCTGAACCAGCCTATTTTCAAGAAAACTTTAATCATTTATTGCAATCAACATCTAGATAACGTAAGGTATAACTTCATTTCAATGTGTTTTATATCTTATGTTGATACCTTGAAGGATGTTCAAGTACCGGTGTGTCCGTTATGCAACAAGCCAGTACCGGTGAAGAGAGGGGAAGCCCCCGATATAGGCGTGTCTGATCACATAGACCGTGAGTGCCAGTCTGACCCCGCTGTCAAGAAGAGGAAGGTCTACTCCAACAGGTGCACCAAGAAAGGCTGCAAACAAAAAGAGGTGAGCTAGCCCTCCGGACATGACCAGGAGAAGGAAAAAAAAGGAGACTGGTGGAATAGGGAGTTGAGGGCGACTTGCTAATCAGTTAAAACATACTATCAAAAAGCTTGTTTACTCAGCCATCCCCCTTCTCAATATCTTTCCTATTTTCGCCCAATCTTCTGTATATTCCCATCCATTCCTTATTTTCTTTCCTTCTTCATCCATTCATTACCCCTTCATTACAATTTAGAAGGCATACATGTAGGCATATTTTTAATGTTTACTTTCTTTAGAAGTTTTTAGTTGCCTGCTCTGTTTTGTTCAAATTATTATCATTATCTTTTATTATTATGTCGTATTAGTTTAAGCTACATGTATGTTATTTTATTTTTGTGGACGTTGCCATACATGTCCATGTCAGGGTGGAAGGACCTATAAGGGCTACAGTTATTAGATTTACTCTTTCCATTTCCCAGGCAACCTGGGCATAAACTGGGCGTAAACTCATTTTCTTTATTGGCTTGTATCTTGCTGGTTTTATTTTTTATGTTGAAATGGCGAGTAAAATAGTACTACTAATAATTCTTTAGAAGTTTGCTGTTGCTTATTGAAGGTACATGTATGACTTTGATTTGTATTGCAAATTGGCTGCAAAGAAATTATCCCATGAGTATGTGTTGTTCAAACAGGTATTAAAAAGTTACATGTTCTAATTTGTCATTTTTTTAAAATTACAGCTTGTTCCAGTAATATGTTCCTCCTGTCATAAGAACTTCTGTTTGAAGCATCGACATTCCGTGGACCATGACTGTCAAGGTTTCCAAAACTCAGGCAAAGGTGCATCAAAACAAGGGTAAGTTCCTTTCAGTGTTGTTACTGAGTCATACAGTGACCTTTAATACTTGTACATGTTTGAGTGTGCCAAAGAGTGACTTGTTAGCATCACTGCATTTTTTGCTTTCAGGAAAAGAAATCTTCATGCAACTTGGAAACTTATGAAAATCTATTGTGTCCCTTGTAACTTTTGGAAAGGTTGAAAAAATGTGTTTGAAAAAGAAAAGAGTTTAGCATTTGGTCATGACATGCTTTGTCTCTCTCTTCTTGTTGTCTCAAGAAGAGAGAGAGAGAGAGAGAGAGAGAGAGAGAGAGAGAGAGAGAGAGATGTGTTGAAGAGAAGGTGAAAAGAAGATAAAATGATAAAGAAAAAAAAGACGATTACAACAGTTGAGGAAGAAATTGAAATTTATCCAATATTGGATCGTTGTTTATTACCTTTGATATCACTTGACCGTTTTCTATTCACATTTGATTTACCAGGGCAGCTGCAATCAACAGACACCAGAACAGTAATAGGACAGCGGGTAGTTCATCATCGTCATCTAGGAATCAAGCTAGGCCACAACAAACCTCTATGGCCGCACTTGGAAGAGATTTTGATAGGTAGGTGGAGGTATATTGTTTATTTACCTAAGATTTATGACTGGAAACATGTTTTGCAGGTCCTCCTCTCTGTGGAATTAGTCTGTTCCACCAGCTGCAATCAAGAAAACAGAGATGATTTACAAAAAAAAAATTGTTATGGGTACCCCAAGTAAAGAAATAATTCCATAGCTTGGCATCGATCTTGCACAAATTTTCAGGGCCTGGTAATCTGTTGATGATTGATCACAAACTTTCTAAAATGAAAGGTCATAGAAAATAACCTTCTTATTTTAATTTTCAACAACCTAGAAAAGATCATAACCCCCCCCCCCCCCTTAGGGAGATGCAAGTTGGTCTAGTCACTCTAGTGGTATGTTCACTTGGTCAGCTCTCTTCTTCTCCTGCAAACAGGCTCAGACGGAGCCTGGTTTGATACTGAGTTGTGTCTTTCGGATGGTGACGTTAAAGGTCGTAAATAATCATATCTGATTGATACACGTCTGCAAATACCAACTACACACACTTCTCCATGACATCATTGCCCCCTAAAGTGTGGGCTAGTGGCAGTCAACAAACTGCTTTTATACTAACATGTTAACACGTTTTATATTCCACATACTAAGAATCTTGCTCTACGATTGGTCAAAGGTTTGTACACGTTGCATATTGCTCTCCTCTTTAAGCGCTTTTAGTGGTAGAACGCGAACTTTGGTCATGCACGAACTATGGTCACACCACCATACTACATACACTCTACGTTTCGTACACCGTTTGCTAGCTGTTAAATTATGACTTGTTACTCTAAAATGACGGAAGAAGTGAAATGTTTCTGATGTGGAATATAAAGCAAATAATCACCTTTTAGGTTCCGCCGATGGCAAACTATCACTTCCTCGGCCATCTGAATGTATACGCTATCTTTCCTCAGCTTCACTTTGGAAAGATGGCTACATCCAGATCGCCTCGGAAGTGATAGTTTGTCCCATCACCTTCACTAACAGTAATTATTTCCTTACTATTGTCTTATTATCGTTCTTTAATAACGGTGTTCTTCTTGTTTCCGCAGGGAAAGGAGAGAGAGAATGGCCGCTGGTAGACAGCAGGCTAATGCAGGAAGTACAATGCAAGCAGGAATGGTAAGTACTTCAACGACTTCTGATCCTCCTCCTCCTCGCCATCAACTATTCTGGCATCAAACAAAGACTCATTAGGCCCGTCTTTGTTAGCTCGAGTTTGCCAAATAACCCGCTATTTTAACTAGATCCTGATTGCAAATTAACCAGTTAGTTTGCGTCCTCTTCAGCCCGCAGTTGCTATTAGCGGAATATTTAGTCGAGAAAATAACGCTACAAAACTTGGTCTTGTTTCCAAAATTTCCCGCTATTTGAGAAATAGCAGGCTAATGTGCGCCTGTCTGAGCTAGTTAGTGATGAGCGTATCGGTCTGGTGAGGATGCGATTTCGAGCTTCGGGACGAGTTTGTAAATAGCCGGTTATTTGGCAAACTCAAGCTGATGAAGACAGGCCTTTTGAGTATCAGTATCCCACATGAAATCCTTCAAGTGAATGTGTGAAATTCTTGCTAATTCTTGCTAATATTGACGTGCAGCTCAGGTATTTTTCAAACTTTCCAACACTATTTATGTCACCAGCTGGGAAACCTTGAACCAGAACTCAACCTTCTTATAATGCAAAAGTTTCTCGATTCACAGTATTATGAAAGATGCATTTTGTTTTCAGTTTTCTCATGCTTTTAACCCATTCCATCCATCTATTCTCCCTCAATCGATGCAGTCAGAGGATGAGGCAATGGCTAGAGCTATCCAGATGTCTCTGGCAGAGGAAAGCAAACCATCTAAGGCGACAAGGCCGCCTGTGAACCCTAGGGCACTACAGCAAGAGGACGAAGACCTGGCACTGGCGAGGGCGCTAGCTGCGAGTGAGGAGGAAGAGAGGAACCGCCGGAGACGGCAGGTGAGTCTTCTTCTTCTTCTTAAATACGTGCCATGTCCTGAGACGTTGGCGACCATGGAATGCCACAACTCTCTGTCCCATAGTCTATGAAGTAATTCATTCTCCCCGAGATCAATCCCACTCCTTAAGCTACTCATCCACACAATCCTCCTTCTACCCCTACTCCTCCTCCCCTCTATTCTGCAGTTGATGAATTTCACATATATAGGGAAAGTAACCTACTTTGATTTAAATTGGAAACATTTTCTGCAAATACAGGTTCAGTTTGCCAAGTGACAAGGGATAACAAATCAGCCTATGTTTTTTTTATTTTCAATAAAAAAGAAAAGTGTAAAAGGGATGATGAATTGTTGATGAAGTACAAACTTTAGAACACATATCCACATTCAGATTTTTGTTGTTGTTGTGTGTATGGACATTATTGTTGAAGTTGCAGGCTTTGAAGGAAAGCAACTATCAAAGATGATGTTTTCTGTATCTGAATTTCTGACATTATTCTTTGGGAAAAGTATGAAAATTGAATGGAGTGTTTGTGGAAAAATAGAGACTCATATTCTTGATACAGGATTTTTGTCTTATTTTTTTATTATATTTTTTTCTTTGGGGGAGGGTGGCTAATTTCAAGTAAACACTTTTGAATAAAGGTATAGTCAAGCATGGTTAAATTTTTCTTTTCTTGTTGTTTTGCACGTTTTCTTACTTTCATCTTCCCCCACTTTCCTCATTTCCCCCATTTTGATTTGCAGTACAGGAGGTCTATTAACACTGCCCAATAATGTTGATTCCGTTTCATACAGCAACGACAGCAGTCTGAAAGTGAAAGTTCCAAGTGTGCTCTCTCCTGATTGGTCGACTGGCCACTTCCCCTTCCGAACGGACCAATCAGCATTGCTAACCGAAATCGGTGATCAAGCTCTCCATCTCATACCATGTGCTTGGCAAAGACAGAGATTTGAACGACCACTTATGGTACCTCCAGACCAACTGACATCTTCCTTTGTATTTTGGCACTTAAGACCAATGTTAAGTACAGAACAAAGATTTATTCAAATTATCATTGCGAATCAGTAATTATGAGGTCAGTAATCACATTTCCATAAAGGAGTAACTCGATATGTAACACTCTAGTGCTTCTGAAATGGATTATTATTATAAATGCTCTAAAATTTTGTGTGAATGAATAGTACATGTCGAGGGTTCAGTGACACAAAGACTCCATATTTGTCAAAATGAGTATTTGATATCAAAATGTTCAAAAAAACGTGGGCTTTACAGGAAACACATAGACTTAACTCCACCGAACACCCCATTGAAGTCGATGGCTAGTGAAACATAAACTTAACTCCTTAAGGCCCAATTGCTCAGTGACACATACACCACTTTTTCTCAAAATGGAGTTACGTCTTTGTGTCACTGACCCCTCGATGCATGATTTCTTTTCTTCATTTTAATTTTCCTCAAGAGGTGAGATTAAGAGATGACGAATTTTAACCTTCTTAAAGGTAATACAAAGTTTTTGAAAATTTTTAAAATTGGGTGGATAGTGAATCTTTACAATTTTGATATATTTGGATGCCCCTGTGGATGTATTATAAGCACTTAAACATTAGCCCCTAAAAAAACTCATGTTTTCGAAAAAAATTGAATATAAAAATTTACCGGTGCTCCCGGTAAATTTTGATAAATTTCAAATAGCGCCTATATGGCCGTACAATGGTAGCTGCGACCATGAAAATCTCAGAATATGTAGTTAGGATATATATTTTCCAAACAGGAATAGCTAATCGGTCGATTTTAGTCAAGAAACATTGTTTCATAGCTAAATTAATATCTTGACCTTGAGAGGGGGCTATACAACATTAAGAGTTTATTATTTATAATTTCATAACTTTAGACTCGATTTCAACCGCGACAACGATCAATGTATATTGTAGGAATGCATATGCTTCCAATATGTTAATTTGAACCAAATTCATGACCCCATACCAAAACTTTGTAATACCTTTAATGGTTTGTTGACACATAATGCAGGAAACCATGGCAATTTTTTAATAACCTGTAAATAATGGCAAGTGGGGATGAGAACAAAAGAACTGCATGTACTCGGTATAGATAATTTGAAGCATATTTTACGCTCGAGTCATTATCAAAGATAAAAAACAAAGAAAGGAAAAAAGAAGCAAGAAACAAAGTAAACAAATTGCTGCAGTTTATGATGTCTTATGTGAATGAGCATTTACATTTCAAATTGTAATACAATTACTTCTGTCTTTCTAAGCATTTTAAATGGTTATAAAAGGGTAAAAATGGGCTATATAATGAAATTTGTCAGTATGTAAAAATTAACAAATTGTGCTCTTTGCTACGTTATAGTTGCAGTATTATACTTTGTAACATGCCAAAGTATCATGCCAGACATATTTTGGGGATTTGGAAATTTTCAGAGTTGCATAGCCTCCATCTTTGGTTTTAAAACCATGTCTTGGGTCTGAAAAAATTATAGAGGGGCAACAAAACAGAAGTAAACTTTAAAGTTTACCATATGATTAAGAATTATGAGAAATGGTGCTGAAAGTGATTCAGGGAAAGCTATTTACCCTTTCTTCAAAAATAGATTCTGCCTGGGCTTTAGTCATAAAAACATAGAAATACTGTGTATGTGCTTTGGACAAATATATTTTGTGTGTCCTACAAAATCTTGTCTATCCATTTTAATATAGAAAATTTAAAAAAAATACTTGACTTTGTCAATTCCATTGAAGAGCAAGACTTGTAGATAGATTTTTAATTTGCTACTTATCAGATATCGTCGTATAGTATATTTAACAAGTATATAATGAAATAAAGTGGTCACACTTTAACCTGTGATGAATGCAAGAGGGAATGAAAGCAAGACTAATTTAAACCTTCACATTAAATTCTTACCCAAGTTGAATTCGTAAGTTATCAGTAAATTTGTTTTGTTTAATCCATCACATGTTGTTTGTTAACCCTCTCATCTCCTTTTCTTTCTTTCTTTCTTTGTTGTTGGAAGGGGGGGGGGGGTCATCCTTTTAAATCTGAATTCCTCCTTAGTTTTTATCATTAGTAAAAGCCGGTTATTTTCATGGATTGTGATCTCATTTAGAAAATAATTTACTAATGCATGTAGTAGTAGTTTGAATGAACTTGGGCAAATGCATTTGCTGCCGATGATTTTTTTTGAGAGTTTTTCTTTCATAATGATGCAAAATGTTTGTACAAAGGGTTGAAAGAAAATGTCATGATGTTCATGATGATTTTCAAATATTATATCCAAGCAAGATGAAGATACATGCTTTTGCAATATACATTTATTTATATGAAAACAATTATACTTGGTATTATATTTAATAAAGCAAAGAAAATAAGAATGCACAATTTTTATTTGTTGTCACTGTTCCTTTTTTTGATCCAGCGCTGGAAAATTTGCCACCCGGAACCCATGTCTGTACTCCATGTACTGTTCTATTGCAAAGATGACATCAATTGGCTATTTTTAATGCAATTGCTGTCCTCGTCTACATTTAACAACTAAATTATTTGTACTTCTTGTAAATTTAATGTATTATGAGTTTTTCGGGACTCAAGAAAATGTGGATTGGTTGAATTAGGGCCTTTGTTGCATACTCTTAGATGTAAGCTTTGATACATCATTCTCAAGAAACATAATTCATGGAAGGGGGGGGGGAGAAAAGAAAGAAGAACTTGGAAAGAGGGAGAATGTAAAGAATGAAGCAGGACAGGAAATACAGAGGAAAAAAGAGAGGAGAGAGACATATTTGCAGAGAAAAGAAATAGGTGACGAAGAAGAGAGAGAAGAGAGAGGGAGGGGAGAGGAAAGAAAGAAGAAGAAAGAGATTGAAAGAGAAAGTTGCAGAGTTAATAGATAGATGATGAAGGACAGAAAGAGGATAAGAGGTGTGGGAGAGAGAGAGGAAAGAAAGAAGAAGAAAAAGAGGGAGAATATAGAGAGCAAAGCAAGACGGAAATACAGAGGAAAGAAAGAGAGGGCGAGAGAGAGAGATAGAAAAAGACATATTTGCGGAGTTAAGAGATGGATGATGAAGGAGAGAGTGAGAGAAAAGAGAGGGAGTGGGGGGGGGGGGGGGGGGGGGGGGGGGGGGGGGAGAAAAGAAAGAAAAAGAGAGCTAGAGAGAGAGGGTGAGAGATATGGAAATTGGAAAGAGACTTAGATTGAGAGGAGAGATGGGGGGGGGGGTATGTACAAAAAAGGGATTTATAGCAGCTTACCACACATTAAAGAGAAACTCAGAACATTATATTTTGATACATCTTTTAATATTTATTCATATTTGTCCAGCTTTACAAGCTTACATAACCTGTCATAAACAATATAAAGAATCTTCTAAAGTTGAAAAGCAAAGCAAATTGCATACTGAGTGCATGATTCAGTTTTATATGGACATTAGTTGGGAGGTAAAAGAATACACAAAACCTCTCAGATACCATTAACAGAGCTCTTTTGATTCTAGTTATTGATGGTGAACCCTATCCCCTAAATAAGTAATTTGATTAGTAATTAAAAGCATTTAGCATTCCAAGAATTATCGTCCTGAAATCGTGTTACTCATTAGTATCAAAATGTTTGAAAACATGCCACCACTCGTAAAATCACATTTTCTTCATGATAATCTACACTTCATCGTTAAAAAGTAAACAAATTTGCAATGTATAATGAAAGTAGGTATACAAGGCTCCAAGAGTTCATATTATCATCTGCATTTAATGATTCTAGCCTCTGATTGGTCAAACTGTAGGAATAAAACTGTATACTGACAGCTGATGTCACAAATGAAGGATAACAGTTAAACAAAAGTTTGATTGATTGAAAGATGAAAATCAGAAGAATAAAAAGCAGAACAATTTCCCTGATTTGTTGGTCTTGCCCATTATCATGATCAATCAATTTAATACAGGGTTTTAGTTAAGTTGTTTTTTCCTTTTCTGTTTGTTTTTTGTTTTTTCTTCAATTTTCAAATGACAGTCACAAGTCAAGTGTATACCCTTTACTAGATTCACCTATGGATTACATTCAGTACATGTAGTCTCTAGTAGAGCCAGAAGGGCATTAACTCTCTGTGTATAATTCAGTTATTATTATTATTATTACTTATACCATGCTTTTTCCATGATAAATAAAATCATATTCCCATGATTACTGAATTGCATTGCCCAATAAAAATTACCATAACGAGTGACCAGGTTGTAACTTCCCATCCGCAAGAAAGAGCTGCAGACCCTTTATGAACTCACAGTTTCACTGCATTGACGTTTGCGATGTACATGTAGCAATTGTTCAGCACTGCATTATAGAGCAAGGTGTTTCCAAAGGGAACATCAAACGATGAACCCTGATGTGACGTAGAATAAAGTCCTCTTGGAAAATCCTCTTGCTCCTCTCCTAGAACGTCATTTTTCTCTCTCCTTCAAGCGTTTATATCTTGTTTACGTTATCTTGCACATGGTCATGACAATATAGGCCATTGCTTCAAAGTTCAAGTGTTTCTGTTCATAAACTGTTGACATTTGTCGGCAGAATTTCGAGATCTCACTTGGAGTCGGCTCGAGGCTTGAAAGGGTCGCTCCATACTCTCATGCCTGTAAAAAATAATGTAAAAGGTGGAGAATAAAAGAGATAAGCTTATAATTCTTGTAAAAAAGTGTACTAGCTCTAGTTCAGGTTTAATGTATGTAGACTTGTATAGATTGAGTCCACTGTGAAATAGAGCATAAGCGTCAAGTTTTTCATCCTGCAATTATCAGAGGTGAAAAGGGGCAATTATCAGAGGTGAAAAGGGGCATTTCTAAGTTCTAACACCTGAAAAGGGACATCCACCAGAGATGAAAAGGGGCACTTATTGGAAGGGCAAATGGCACCTCTTATAAAGAGGGGGCACCTCTCAGATTTGCATAGAGGCAATTATCAGAGGTAGCAGTAATCAGAGTGGTAAGGGGCGCTTATAAAAATGCAGAAGGGGCATGTATTTGAAAGAAAAAGGGGCACTTTTCCTATGTAAAAAGGGGCTTTTTGGGGGGTACTTGAAATAGCAGGGGGAATTTCATCATGTCATGAAACCAACTTTCCATCTTCATTTTGTGACTGGGTTATTCCATTTATCAACTTTGTCACAGAATGACAGTAACTTGTAGAGAATGAGGAGCATGACAATTGGCGCTCCATAAACCATGAGACTTGTCCTCTCCATCTGGTATTTTAGCTGAAGTGACAACTGCTCCGGGCTATATTTTGTCAAATTTACAGGTTAGTGACTTTAAATAATGATAATAATAATCATAAGTATTCCTAAAGCAAACTTTCTGAAACAGTAATCACTCAAGAATCAAGATGATAAAATGCAATATGATAACAATATTCAGTGTTATCTTAACAATGAAAATAAACAAACAACAATAATATCAGGCATGTAACATTAAGTTTCCTAATGGCTATGGGTAAAAAAGTGCTGCTAGATTCTCCTTTGAAAAATGTCAGGTTTAATAGGGTATTAGGTTAGACTTTAGAGCTTGGGTTAGGGTTAGGTACATGTATATTTTTTGGTCCAGGGTTAATGTTACAGATTCAGTGAGTGTAGGTTATTGACCGTGGGGCAATATAGTCTCCGGAACACGTGTCATAAAATCCTCCACCGCCCCCTCATACTTCTCGGATTTCAATTCAATTTCAAACATAAACATGTATTCTGCCATCGAACAAGCTAAGTGCCATATTCCGGTGGTATTTTCAAAAACATGATGCACTTCAAGGAGATTTTCTTTCATACATAATGTAATGCTCTTGTGAACTTACACCCACATAACAGGGAAAGAGATAGATGGAGTTATTAAATTCATAAAGGAAGAAACTTAAAGGAAAGATTTGTTACGAAACAAAAAGTGAAAGATCACTAGCAAACAAAAGTATTCCACCATTCAGTGGCATTGCATGGATCCAGCCATTGGGGGTACTGGTGTCATGAAGAGGGGAATGGGGGGGGGGGGGGCAGTCTCTTACATATTTAATTGGAGAACAAATTGTAAAAGAACAGGGCAATAGAGAAGGGTGAAGGTATGGAAGGGAGTCGATCATTTGCTTTCAAATTGCAATACCACTTTCTTTCATTTTCTTTCTCTTTTCTCTTTTTCGTGTCCTCAGCATTTGATGGAGGTGCATGCACTTCATAAACCTACCCCCCCCCCCCCTACCTCCAGAGTAACGAGCCACATTCTTAGTAGTAAAAGAAATGCCTAGAAAATTGAAAGAACTGACTAAATATTGAATTAATCTTCTTTCTAGGCAGAAATTTAGGTAAGTCCTTAGGGGAAAGGATTCAGGTACATGTATATAGAGCTTTACAGGTACATGATATTTGGAGGAAAAGGGGAAAGATTTGGACACTAGAAAGACTTGAAAGAAAGCAGGATAAATTTAGAAAAACTTTTGTTTGGTAAAAGATTAAAGAAGTACCAACATATTGAATGATTCTTTTTATGAAGGGGAATGAGAAAAGCAAACTCACTATAATCAATTACAGACAGAGAATTCTGTGAAATATTTGCTGAAAAATGCTGGAGAAACTAAGACCCCCAATAGATCATTGAATATTTATAGGGAAATAACATAAGAACAACAACAAAATAATCAATAACTCAACAGAAATGTCAGGAAATGAGACCAAAACAGAATGAATAATAGTCTTCCAGACATAGAATCCAGGGGAGTCTTTGCTAGGGAAATTAAAGAGAAGACAAAATATTCAATGATTCTTCAAGAACAGAATCAGAAAAGCAGACAAAATAATCAATGATTCTGTTAGGAAGGATATTCAGGGAAATATTTGAACAAAATAAAGTGGAAAAAAGAAAAAGAATCAGACAGGAAAAAAATAATCAATGATGACGGCAGAAAAAGATCGTACTGGAGTGTTGGCCAAAGGGTAGGGGCAGAATAGGTCGTATTCTAGGAGGATCTATACCTAGATGGAACCAAGAACGGTGTGAAAATATGAAACATTTGCATAGTGTTGACAGCAATGGGGAAAGTATGGTCTGTTTTTTCTAATGGGAATGTTCACACTCTTGATTCAAGCATTTTTGTTGTGATGTTGAATGTTGTATTGATGCATTTGGTTGAATCAATATCATCATGTATGCACATAATTAGATACATACGGTTGGGGAATTTCAATGCGACTGGCCCACTCAATCTCTATAAATCAACATGTAACTACATGTAAGTAACATGTATGTATTAACCAGCACTAAACCAAAATTAACCAGCCCTCTGGATAAATATCAAGCAGCCTATGAGAAAAACTTCCAAAACTCCCCATGGCAAGTCTAGTACCCCAGTCTATAAGATTTAAACACAGCTCATAACCAATTTAAAGCTGTTTTATGTACCTCAAACTTAAAGAGCCATTTCCTACAGAGAACAATTTTGTGGCACATGAAGAAATAAAATGCTTTCACATGCCCCCGCCCACCCCCCCCCCCCCCTGACACAAACACTTCCCATTCATGAATTTTCTCAAGTGACGCTGTTTGTTCAAATGGTGATAAGGGCTTGAGCAATATTCATGCAGCAGTACAAACCTACATTCAAGTACAGTAAAAACGTGTCGCCTATGGGGAAAGAGACAAAAGTGGCCACTGTAGGCAGGTTGTCTTTCTAGACAGGTTCTACAGCACAGATTTCTTTCTTGAGGGAGACAAAAGACATGGCCACTATACACAAGGTGGATATATAGAGATGTCGCCACCAAGACTTACCATACATACATGTAGTCCCTGATAGCAAGCACAATTATTAACAAAGATCAATTTATTAGAAAAACCATTTGACTATACAGGGGATTCAAAATGTTTGAAACCAAGATTGCACAATCGTGTCTTTTGTGGGGTGTGAATGCATTATTTGTGCATCTCTGGCCCTCATTCAGCTGGCATACTTAGTAGAATAATTCATCACCAATAGGCCTGTCTTCATCAGCTCGAGATTGCCAAATATCCCGCTATTTCAACTATCCCGATCGCAAATTATCCAGTTAGTTTGCGTCTTCATCAGCTGAAGTTAGCAATTAGCTGGATATTTGGTCGGGATAATCATCCCAAGATATCTTGGGATAGTTTGCAAAATATCCCACTATTTGGTCGGTACGTTTTCACCAGCCCGAAGACTCACACTATGTGTGAATGAACGCTTAGCAAAATATCTCAATGTCGAGTTTAAAGTTTCGAGGTCGAATCTCGAGCTGATGAAGACGCGATTTGTAACATTGGGATTATTTCCCGAATCAGAAATAGCGGTCTATTTGGCAATCTTGAGCTGATGAGGACAGGTCTAATCTTGCATTTGCCACCAACAGCGGCAACCAGGGGGATCAAGAGGAGATCGGACAGTGAAGGATCTATCCCATCATCCTCGGGGAGACCCTCATGCTCGCCGAGAGGATTCCCAGCACGAACGCTTTACCCGAGCATGCTGGGAATAACCAATGAAGGTAGATCATCCCCACAGACTTGTAAGCCATGTTTGCTTGACAAGCTTGCAAAACACCCTCAAGAAATATCCTCGAGAGGGAACGTCGATGGCTTCTTGTGATGCCTGTGTGAATCGTGATCAGATTACGTAATCCATTGCTGTAAGTAAGCAAAGCTAAAAATACACTTGAAGGGCTTAGGGCCATCTTGCCCCGAGTACTACGTACGTACTTACAAGTAAATGGTCTTAAAATTATCCTTCTTGACTGAGAGACGAGGGTTCCCTAACTAGGCCTCTAGGGTGAGTTAAACCTTGTGCCTTTTCAGATTCAAAAGAGGCCCACTTGTCTACCACACCTCACCAATTGGCAATTCTTTCACGTACGGTACATGAAACCTGCATCACCATCATTTGTTGATGCATAGAACATTTATCTTTTTTACATGGTGGCTCAGTGGTTAGAGCGCCCGCCTCATGAACAGGAGGTCGTGGGTTCGAACCCCAGCCGAGTCATACCAAAGACTTATAACAATGGGACCTTCTGCCTTCTAGCTAGGCACTCAGCATATTAGATTGGAGAAGGGTAGTTATGCAGGGCCCGCTGGAAGAGCAGTTTCATAACTGAAGTGGCTACCCTGGGTAAATAAAACATTATTATTATTATTATTTACCTAGAGCTTCCAAATATTTTTTCCTCCTTTTTTCCAAGCAGTGTAAAATTGATTGATGCACACCAATAAGTGCATTTGTCACTAACAAACATTAAACTGTCCAATATTCCAAGTAGGCTAAAGAAACTGTGAGGAGTTCAAAAACATTACGAAATTTCCAAGATAAGACACATAAACTTTGTGACGGAAATAACTGATGAAAGTTCTAACCCTCCTGAGAGAGCGCCAGATGATATGGGAGTGAGAGGAATAATTTGCTGTATAATTATTCTGTTACAAGAAGAATCCATTTCCATGAGCACCCTTTTATTCACATACTTCCGGCAAGAAGATGTGGAACGCATACCTTAAACGACTATTGAGCCTGGTAATGAGTTTTTTCAAGACGATTAAAGCCAACAATCACCGAATGACGGATTGCTGGCCTAATCAGAGTGAGCGAGCGG